GCGCCCACCTCCACCCCCCCCCCCTGCGCACACGCCGCAGGACACCTCCCGCGTGCAGTACGAGTGGCTACGCCGCATCACCGGCCAGCCACTCCCCGGACGGCCGCAGCAGCAGCCGCCCTTTGGCAGGAGCGGCGGGGCGGAGCAGGCCGTCTTCGTCGCTGCGGATGACGACCAGTCGGTGTACGGCTGGCGCGGCGCCGACCGCACCAACGTATCTCCACCCCGTCCGACCTCTCGGCTGAGCTCGGCCGATCTCGGCTGATCTCGGCCGGCGCTCCGCAAGGTGCTCCGCTTCCTGTCCGAGTTCGACGGCGCGCGAGTCATCCGACTCACAACCTCCTACCGCTGCTCCCCGCACGCCCTCGCCTTGCAGCCGCCGCCGAGGGGGCGGCACACGCGTGCGTGACGCGCCTGCCGGCCCTCCCCGTAGGCACGCCCTCGGCGCGGCGCAGGCGTTGCTCTCCCGCTCGCCCTCCCTGCTCGCTAAGGAGTGCGAGCCGCACACGCCCGCCGCCGACGCGCCGCGCGTGGTGCTGCGCTGCTTTTGGGACGCGCGCGACGAGGCGCAGTGGATCGCGCGGCACGTGGCGGCGCAGCGTAAGTCGCACCCGGCGTACCGCTACTCGGACTTTGCGGTGCTCGTGCGGTCGCAGGAGCTTGCGGCGGCGCTCGCGCCCATGCTGCGCGCGCGGGGGCTGCCCATCTCCACCTCCCTCCCCTCGGGGCTACCTTGGTGGGGCGTGCCCGAGGTGGCCACCTCGCTCGCGGCGCTGCGGCTCGTCCGTTCCTCGACGGACGACGAGGCGGCGAGAGCAGTGCTCGCCGGTTGGGCGGCGCTGCCGGCCGAGGCGCTCGACGCGGCGGAGGTGGAGGCGGCGCGGTCCGGCCGCGGGCTCATGCTGACTGTGTCGATGCAAGCGGCCGAGCGGCGGGTCGGTGCGGCGCGGTCGGCGCCGGCGGTGACGCGGCTGCTGCAGCGCGTCGCGTGGTGGCAGCAGCTCGCTTCGTCCGAGGTCGGTTTGCAGCGGCTGCTCGACCAGATCGTCGACGACTACCCGCCTCCCACACAGGATGGCGCCGCCGCCATCTCCAAGCTGCTCCGGCTCGCGGAGCGGTGCGGCTCGCTCGCGGCGCTGCTCAGTCACTTGCGCTCGCTGCAGAGCGGCGCGGGGGAGGAGGAGGGGGAGGAGGACACCGTGCAACTGCTGACGATGCACCGCGCGAAGGGGCTCGAGTGGGAGGTGGTCTACCTGCCCGGCTGGGAGGCGGGCGCCTTCCCGCGCCCCGCGGGCGGCGGCGGGGGCGCCGCTGGCGCGGACGCCGCCGCCGCCGCCGCCGCCGAGGACGTCTCCGCCGCACCCGCCGCTTCCGCCTCGCAGCGCGGCTCGGGGAGCGAGGCTGGCGCCGCGGCTTCCCTAGGGCGCAGCGCGGCGGCCGCACCGGAGGCGGAGCAGGAGGAGTGGCGGCTGGCGTACGTCGCCCTGACGCGCTGCCGCCGCCTCGCCGCCGTCACGTACGCCTCCAACCGCCAGCTGGCGGGCGGCGCGTGGGCGCGGCGCCAGCCGTCGCCCTTCGTCCTCGCGCTGCCCCAGGCGCACGTCGCGTCCTCCGCGCCGTCGGCGGGCGACCCCGTGTTGCGCGGCAAGGCGGGCTGGCGCGCAACCACCTCGCGGCTGCTCTTCCCGCACCGGCAGTCGGGCCGGCCCAACCGCGCGTTGGGGCTCGCCGCCGCCGGCACGCAGCGGGCGTGGCAGGAGAGCCCGGCCGAGCTGCTCACCGTCTCCGAGGCGGTGGTGCGTGCCGAGGCGGAGGTCGAGGCGAAGCGCGCCCAGGCGGCGCGGAGCGCGGGAGAGCTGCAGCTACTGCCCGACGGGTCCATCGGGCTCGAGCAGGACGCCTTCGGAGGCGAGGCTTTCGGCGGCGAGGCCGCCGCGCCGTCGGCGGGGGGCGCGGCGCACGGCGCCGTGCCCTTGCGGCAGGACGCGCCCCTCCCCGCTTGTGCCGAGGCGCCGCTCGAGGAGGAGCCGCTCGAGGGGGTCGTTGAGGCCGCCGGCCCGTCGCAGCCGTTCGAGCGAGCGCCGCCCGGCCGTCGAGCCGAGGGCGCACTCGACCTCAGCGTGGAGGGCGTCACGGCCGCTGCCATGGCGGCGCTGGCGGCCGCCGAGGCGGCGCAGCGCGCCACGGAGGCGGCAGCAGAGGTTGCGGCCGCCCTCTTTGAGCAGGCGGCGCAGCGGCGGCGCTTCGACGCGCCAGACGCCGCGGGCCGCGCGACGACGCTGCGCCGGCGACAGAGGCCGGGCGGTGCGGTTCGGGCGAGTGGGTTTGAGGGGGCGGCTCGGCGCGGCTCGCGCGGCGGCGAGCCTCAGCGGAGCCGCCGCGAGCTGCGCTTCGCTTGGTGCGTGGACGAGGCGGGGGACGAGGCGGGGGACGAGGCGGGGGACGAGGCGGGGGACGAGGCGGGGGACGAGGCGGGGGACGAGGCGGACGAGCGCGAGCTCCGCTTCGCGTGGTCCGTGGAGGAGGCGGACGCTGGCGACGCGGCTGTCGCGCCGAGGGGCGGGGCCGGGGCCGGGGAGGGGGGGGAGGCGGCGGCGGGTGGGCGGGCGGGCGAGGTCGTCTTTGATTGTGGCGAGGGGCCGGGCAGCGGCGGCGCGGAGGGGCGGGAGAGCGAGCGAGAGGAGCTCTCCTTTGCGTGGCCGAGCCGGCCCCTCGCCCACCCGCCCGGCGGTCGGCGCCGCCCTGTCGACCTCTCCTTTGCGTGGAAGGAGCCGCGGTGGGAGGAGTGCGTGCCGCCGCCAGAGGGGAGGGCGGGCCGCGTGGCCGGCGAGCCCGCGCCCGTCGTCGAGATTGGGATGGACGCAGCCACCTCTGCGGACCTCGAGGCGGCGGCCGTGCTGCGGAAGCTGGTCGTCGACGTCACAGACATCGCCAGGGCGTGAGCGTGCTTGACCCGTTCTGCGCGCCCGCAAGCCTCTTGCCGCTTCTAGGAGGAACGCCCTTACTAGGCATAGCGAAGCAAGCATGTAGATGTACGGTTCGGCACATGTAGGAATCCTATCTCAGCGCAAAAGTTTCCTCTGGGGTGTACATGTACCCCTTTTGCGCGCCAGTCGCCGCCACCAGCGGCCTAGCATGCCTCACCCTCACGCCTCAGGCTCAGCGCACCCCCGGGGGCGAGGGAGCGCACAATGGTCAATGCGGCTGTGCGCACGCTGATCGCTGATTGCAGCAGGGAACAAGGTCACCTCTGGGGGGAGGCGGGGGCCCCCGGAGGCACCGTGCGCCGCGCAACAGTGCGGGGAAACGGGGCTCCGGCTCCGCTAGTCTCAGCTAGCACCGACTTCCCGAATGATTACGGTTGATTAGAGGGCAGATTTGGAAAGATCTCGAGGAGTACATACAGATAGACCCTCTAACCATCAGAAAACTCCGACCTGATCGGTCGTACTGACCGCCGACAGATCACTCGAAGGCGCAGCAGACAGGCCGACGTATCTGCACGCGGCCGGCCGGGCGAGAGGCTTGACACGATCCGACCCTGCGACCCTGATGCTGCTGCTCTAGCTATCAGACATGCGCGCTGACTACTGCCACAATGTGCGACCGGTGCTGGCCCACTTGGCGGCCTTCCCGGTCAGTGGTGAGGCGCAGTTCAGAGCTGTCGATGGCGCGATGCCGCACTGGTCCCACATTGGTGACGAGACCACCAAGTTTGCCGGTCCAAGAGAGAGGCACCGGCGCTGTCCTGAGAAGGTGCGTGGTCCCTCTTGACTGCCCATGCGCGCGAGGCTGTGTAGGCATAGCCTCGAGAGTGCCAGCAGCCGATCCGAGGCGACGCGCATTGCGTCAGAAGCGTGCACACGTTGGAAGGACACCTTCCTACTGGCCGCACGATCAGGTCGTCACTGAATGCTGGATACTAAGGCCGCGAGCTATGCAGGTGGTCAATTGTGCAGCATGGCACGGTCAGCAGCGCCGACAGGCTGTCGCAAGGCGTGATAGCATGGCCGCAAGTAAGTACCCCGCATTCCCATGAAAACAAGTAATAAGAACTGGCCCCCGCGAGCGTGGAATAGGACCGCCGCAAGCGGCGTGGCGTGGGGCGGTTGAGCGTCCCTCCGGGGGCCCCCGCCGCGGGCGCCGCGGAGAATCCGGCACAATTCTTCTTTCGACGCGCGTTCTGTCGTTGCGCGCCGCCCGTCGACGCAACCGCGAATCATACCGACCACGCTATCCGCCGTCGCGGCGGCTGGAAGAGTCGACGCGGTCGCAGAGCTTCTGCCGGCGGCGTCTGCCGACGAGCTCTCCGCTGCTGTGGTGCTGGCGGCTCGCTGGGGACACGCCCATGTCCTGGAGAAGCTGCTGCTGAGGGCCGGCTGCACAGACACACGGCGAGCCCTGCAGCTGGCGGCCTTGCACGGGCACGCGGACGCCGTGTCGCTGCTCCTCTCGCAGGCGCGCCCCTCCACGTCGGCCGCTGCTCCACCAGCGGTGGAATGGCTGGCAGCTCCGCTGCGTGCGGCGTCTAGCTGGGGACACCTGCGATGCGTGGAGGCTCTGCTGTCCGCGCGTGCTGACCCCGACGCCACGGACGAGCGCGGGCGGAGCGCATTGCACGCCGCAGCGGCGTGGGGGTGCGAGAAGGTTGCGAGCGCGCTGGTTGCGGCGGGCGCCGACACCGCCTCCGCCTATGCCATCGCATTGGCCAACGGGCACGAGCGGCTTGCGGAGCTACTCCAGGAGCCAACGGCAGACTTGCCGCAGAGCCACGACGTCCCACGGTCTGCAACACCCCGCATCGCGCGTCCTCCGCTACCGCCAGCAGCGGCGCAATCACCGTTCCTCCGCCAACGGTACGCGGCGCTCGCGCATTGACACCCGACTGCGGTGGCTGTCATAGGCGCCGCCAAAGGCGTCTGCTCCGGCCACAAAAGGGGCTGCGAGTCCCGTCTCCCACAGGTCGGCTGCTCTCACCTTGTGCCACCCTTCACCTAGCTCCCCGCGCCCTCCCGCCGCCCTTCTCCCCCGGTCCCTTGGCCCTTGGCTGCGGACGAGCTGCTGCAGCACCTGAGGCTCCGCTCGTGACTGGGCGGCACTTGGCGCAGGTGGCGAGCGGCGCTGAGGCGAGTGCGAGTGCGAGCCACCGCGCCGGTGGCGCCTCTTTGGTTCGACGACGACGTGCTGCTGACGCACCCACGAAGCGAGCGGCCTGCGAGGCAGCTCCCCTGCGGCGCGCTCGGCGAGGGAATAGAGATGAAGAGCCGGGGAGCGCGAGACGCGGCGACGATCGGTAAGCCCTCGACTTGAGCGTCCTTTGATTTCTTGCGTTGCGCATCTCTCTCTCTCTCTCTCTCTCTCTCTCTCTCTCTCTCTCTCTCTCTCTCTCTCTCTCTCTCTCTCTCTCCACCGACGCTGTGTAGGATCGCTTGTATCATGTGAGAGAGTGCGTCGTTGTGTTCTTGTTTGTATCTGCTCTCTCTCTCTCTCGCGCGCGCGCGCGCATTCTCTGGTCTGTCTCTGGTCGGACGGGAACGAGAGAGATTGAGTAGAAGAAAGCAGGAGCCCTGCGCTGCGTGAGGTTTGACTTTTCTCGTTTTCTGCGAGCCCGGGCTTGTGCTGGTGCGTGATGCTGCCTCGCCGATGCTCCCCTACGACCACCACCACCCTTCCAGCCCGTCCCGTGGTGGCTACCGGTGGTTGAGATCCAAGGCTCTGGACCACGTAAACGCACGGCGAGGCCTCCGCCGTGCATTCCTCGAGTGCCGCAACTCACCACGCAAGGTTGTCTTTCGCGTGCTGCTTCTGGTGCTGCTGCTGCTGTGCATCACCATGTGGAGGCTGCACGTGCCAGCCGCGCGCGTGGCGTGCGAGGACGGGCACGGCGAGTGCGAAGCGTGGGCACGCCGTGGCGACTGCGGCCGCGACCCCGCCTACATGCGAGAAGCATGCCCTCTCTCCTGTGGTTCGTGCCACCTGGTGGCGGGCGAGGGCGGCGCCGGCCGCGCGGGTCTACGCCCTGCTCCCTCTCCGCCGGCCGACCACGCTGAGACGGCGGCGGCGTCGGCGACGGTGGCGGCGCCGGCGACGGCGGCGGCGTCGGCGACGGTGGCGGCAGTCTCGGCGGCGACGGCCGCGGTGGCGGCGGGTGTGGGTGCTGCTGCGGCGGGTGCGCTTGAGTGTGTGCTGACGACGGGAGGCGGGCGGGTGCCGCTCCCGCGCGAGCGGCGCAACGACGACTACTGCGACTGCGCCGACGGGTCCGACGAGCCCGCGACGTCTGCTTGCGCCGGGGCGGGGAGGGGAGGAAGCGGCGCGCGGTTCCGCTGCGCCGCGGACGTCCCGGCTAGGACGATTCCGGTCTCGCGCGTGGAGGACGGCGTGTGCGACTGCTGCGACGGCTCGGACGAGCCGAGTGGGCGTGTGTCGTGCGGCGACACTTGCGCGGCGCTGCGGGCGGCCGAGGCGGCTCGAGGTGGCGTCCGCCAGCGCGGTGCGAGGGTGCGGGCGGAGTACGAGGCGGCGGCGGCGGCGCGGCCTTCGCAGCTGGAGGCGGCGGGCGGCGAGTCGCTGCTGCGCGCCGCGGGCGCGACCGCTTTCGGGGCGCTCTCCGGGCGATGTTTCAAGGCCTCCCCACTCCTCCAGACGCTTTGCCCCTCCCCTCCTCGCTCCCCTCCCTCCCCTTGCCTGCCCCTCCCCTCCCCTCCCCCCCAGCCTCCTCTCGCACTCCCCTTCGCTCGCAGGTCGCCGGCGGCGAGTACGAGTACGAGGTCTGCCTCTACAGCCGCGCGACCCAGCGCGGGAGAGGCAAGGGGAAAGCTGCCTTCTCCCTCGGGCGGGAGTGGGCTTGGGAGACCGCCGGCGCCGTGGGTGTGCTGCGCGGAGGGGACAAGTGCGGCGCCGGCCCGAAGCGGTCGGTCCGCATCACGTTCGAGTGCGCGGAGAGCGAGAAGCTCGGGCCAGTGAGCGAGCGATCCACTTGCGCTTACGCCACGACCCTCGCCACGCCCGCCGCGTGCTGAGATTTGTACGGTGTGGAGCGCTCGCGATGTTTACGTAACGTGGGGTAGAGCAGTACACGACGGAGATGACTGATGAGCGAAAGACAGAGCCTCAGAGGCTCGCGCACAAAAAAACATCCAACAGAGGGGTGGAAGGCGGGAGAATCCAAAAAAGCCGTCCAAAAAGCCAAAACGACCGCGACGCGCGCGACTCGCGCGCGGCCCCGGTGTCCGGGCGCCGCTCTCGCGGGCATGGCGTCTCGGTCTCGCGCGTGGCCGGCCCCCTTGGCAAACGAAGTCCGCTAAGAGCTCCAAATAAAAAGCAGCAGGGCCAGAGGATACAGGGGGGACACCGCTCTCACGCAACGCCGGCAATAACACCCGCACGCGACACGACAGTCATCACAGAGGACACGGTGTGCGCACGTCGCAGAGCACTCTGGCGTGTGAGGGACGCGAAGGGTCGCGATAGCGGGGCTGCGGTCGGTCGCGCCTGCTCGCAGAGGCGTGCACTGCTTCTCCGCGTTCCGCCGCGCCTGCGTGCGACCTGTATGCCTGCGCTGCCTGGCCAGGGTGCGGAAGGTAGCGCGCCTCCGCCTGGAAAATCTAGTGCACGCGTGGTGCGGCCGGCAAGCGGGAGCCGCAGGGCGATGCGATCGATTGTGCCGTCTCATGCGATCCCCGCTCCGGTCAATCCGCGGGCTTGCGGTTCGGGTTGCGGGGACCAGGCACGCGTACATTCTCGTAGTCGTCCTGGACTTGTGCGAGGAGCGCCTGCGACCGAGGCGCGCAGGCGCGGTGGTTGGCGCGGCAGAACTGCGTGGCTGCGGGCGACATGCTGGCGCGCCTCGTGCTCCTGCTGCAGGTCAAACTTGGCGCGCCCCTGCTTGCGGCGCCGCGCACGGTCGTCTTTGACTTGCGTCGGCAGTCGGAGGAAGCGGCTGAGGCCCCACGAGCCGGCGGCCATGAGGAACATGAAGGGCATCGCTTGGAGGAGGAAGGATCTCTTCTCGCGAAGCCTGGCCATTGCGCATCGAGTTGGGCAGTTATTTGAGTCGTGGTTATGTCTTCCTCTGCACGGCTCGCCCAGCGCGCGCACGGTTGGAGAAGAAAGTTTCCCAAAACAGACACGCAAGAAGAAACTTAGGTGCCTCGCACGCAAATTCTTCTCCCGACAGAGGGAGGAGCGCTGCTTCGGCGCCACTCTCAGCTCCCTCCTCTGCTTGCGCACGCCTCTCTCACCTCTCCGCCGCACGCCCCGTCGCCTCCTCCCGCGCCCCAACGCTGCCCCGCCCCCTCCGCAGGCCGTCCGGTGCGTCATGCTGGGCGCGGCGCGGGCGACGCGTGTGGCACACGTGCTCCGGACAACGCAGCGGCACGCGTCGCACGGGCCCAAAACGTACGGCAAGGGCGAGTTCCGCGGCTTCACTCCGCCCCACGTGCCCATGTGGCAGAAGCGGGTCGGCGAGGGCTTCGCGACCGCTGCGTGGCTCTGGTTCTTCTGGCGCTGTTACCACGATGGCGGCCACCTCGTGGTGAGCACTAAGTGCCGCCCATGCCGCGTCTGCGCAGCGGGCCCTAGCACGCGAGCGCGCGCCCCGGGGCGGACGCTCCGCCCACCCCCGCCCCCGTCTACCCCCTTCCGCCGCAGGGCATGTGAGCGCACATACGCAGCTGCAGTTGGTGAGCGCGGAAGACGCAGGTCTGGCTTCCGCTGCCACCTGCCGGCGTCCGTTTTTGACTGCTGGCGCCGCGGCTGCTGCGCTTGCTGCCTGTCCCCTGCCCACAGTTCAGCGCGCTCCCACCAGTGTCTAACACAGGCTCGCCGCTCCCGCCTTCTACTTTGTAATAGACTCTCGGCCCCTGCTGTCGACTGCCGCTTTTGCCCATTTTCGGTCATTAGTCAAAATATCTGACGATCCTAATATATAGGATTCTCCCAAAGCTTGCTCCCCTGCCACCGATGCCAAGAGAAAAAGAAAAGAGTTTGGCAGCTCGCCCAGGGCCGACGCCAGCACCTTGCTGTTGCTGTCGGCGCCGCCGTTCCACATTTCCTCCTCGCGTAGCTCCATGGGCAAGGGCGGCGAGCGCCCGGCCGAGTGCGACTGGGCGGCCGCGGGCGCGTCGACCAGTGGTGCTTCTCGCGCAGCCTGCGCATCAGGTGCGAGCTCGAGCTGGCAGTCGCCGAGGCGTTTTTGGCTCGAGCAGTACTGGCGCCTCGACGGTGTCCGCCGCTCGTCCCGCCCGGACGCCTCGGCGGGCGCGGGCGCCGCGCGCGAGGCGGTGTGGTCGTCGGGCGTGCCCTTCTACCCGCCGTCGACGCGGCTCTGGCGGATCGGGGGCAGGTGGTACGACTTTGAGCCCTTCCTGAAGCTCCACCCGGGCGGCGCGGAGGTCCTCCGGCTGGCGCGCGATCGCTTCGAGGACTCGACGTACGCCTTCGAGGCGCACCACCACAACTATGCGCACGCGCGCAAGGTGATAGCAAAGTACGAGGTGCCCGCGCCCGCCGAGCTGCTGCAGCGGCCCGAGGGCGCCGTCGTGCCTGGCGCGGGGGGCGACGGCGGCATCACCACGCTGCCCGCGCTGCTCGACGACGACGCCTTCTACTCGGTCGTCCGGCGGCGGCTGGCGGCCCACCTGCGCTGCGTCCGCTGCCCGGCGGGCGGGCCGACGCGCGAGTGCGTCGTCTTCTTTTGGGCGACCTTCGCGGCCTTCGTCGGCGCGTGGGGCCTGATGTGGGCGTCGGGCTCCGTGGCGGCGGCGCTCCTCTTCGGCGTGGTGGCCGCCGTGCTCGGCGCATTTGGCCACAACTGGGTGCACCAGCCCGCGTACCGGCTGCACTCGTACCTGTCGCTCGACACGGTCGGCTTCAGTTCGACGGGCTGGTTCCGCGAGCACGTGCTGCAGCACCACATGTACACAAACACTCCGTGGGACAACCACTTCCGGGGCACCGAGCCCTTCCTCGTCACCGACCCGACGGTGCCGCGCCACTGGCTCCAAGCGTGGGTCATGCCGTACGCCAATCCGCTCGTCCTCACGTTTGGGCTCTACGGCAACTACGTCGACCACTGCGTCAACATGGCCAAGGGCAGCGAGGAGTGGCGGCCGACCAAGGCGATCCTCCCGCTCAACATCGCGCTCGTCGTGTGGCGGTGGGGGCTGCTCCGCGGCGCGGCCCTCACGTACGCCTGGACGGCGGCGCTCGGACTCTGGTACTTCACGATGGCGCTGATGAACCACAACGCGGAGCACACGCACGACGTGGAGCGGCGGAACAAGGCGCGCGACTGGGGCGAGGCGCAGCTCGTCTCGTCCGCCGACTGGGGCGTGCAGCTCCCCTTTCGGCGCGCGTGGGTCTACCTGTGGCTCAACTACCACACGGTGCACCACCTCTTTCCGCGCCTCGACTTTTCACACCACCACGCGGCGCAGCGGATCCTGATGGAGACGTGCGCGGAGCTGGGCGTGCGGTACGTGGCGGCCGACTCGCCGTGGGAAATCTACAAGCAGATGGTCCGCAGCTTCGCCACGCCGCGCTCGCTGTACAAGAGCATCAGCGTGTACGGCGGCGAGATTTGAGCGATAGGGGGAGAAGAGGCGGCCGGCCGCGCGAGTCGCCCTCGCAGCGCGCCAGACGGATAGTGCGAGGAGAGAGAGCCAAAAGGTAGGCGGAGGCCAAACAGTCGATGGGAGAGAGAGGGAGAGAGAGAGAGAGTAGGCGAGCGCACGGGGTGAGCGGAGGGAGCACTGAGACTTATGACTCAGAGGCTCGTCCGCGCTCGCACTTCAGACCCGCAGCGGCGGGAGCAGTGGCAGCGTGACATGTTGGTGTTAGTTTCCTTAACGTCTATTCGTGGCAACCCTCGCTGCACGCTGGTGATTTCGCGTGTCCGCGCCACGCGCACGCCGCCTCCGCACACACACACGTCTCACACCACCGCTCGCGAGACGATGAGGTGGGTCGGCGTGTGACGGAATCGGATGAGGTGGACGTTACGATGACGTGATGTCCCGTTTCGATCGATCGCAGCGCTGGAGACCTCGAGCCGGAGACTCACCCAGCGGCGCCTCGGCGCCGGAAATAAGTAATCTTGGTCACATCACCGCTGCAACGCTCGTATGCAGCGTCGCAGCCGCGCAATCTCGCGCCTCGCTTCGACCAGCTCGCGCTCCAGCTCGCGCCGCGCCGCCTCTGCCCTCTGGGCCGCGTGCCGAGCGCGCGAGAGCTCTGCGCCGGCGTCCTGCTGGCGCTGGCGCGCCTGCCGCGCGGGTGGGGGGGAGGGCGCTCGCCGCTGCCGCACCGCGGAGGCGGAGCTCGAGCGGAGGAGGAGGGAGCCCTGCCTCCGCCCCGGCGGTGCCTCCGCCCTCGAGAAGCGCTCCTCGCGGGCCGACGGGCGCCCTCGGTGCAGCCGCTCGTAGCAGGACTCCTCGCTGAGGAGGCGTTGCGGCGCACGGCGAGGAGCCTCGTGCGGCACCGTGCCCGGGCGGCGCGTCGGCGGCTGTGCCGAGCTGCGCCAGCGCTCGCCGCCGTCAAGCGCGTGGGCCCAGCCAGGAGACGGCGGGCTGCCGCGCCCACCACTCGCGTCTGGTAGAGGGCCGGCGGCTGAGGGCACCATCGCCTCCGCAGCCGCCCATGCCTCCGCCACGATGCCGGCAGCTGTCGCCACGCCAAGCGGTGGCCGAGACCGCGTGGCAACGCTACGCTGCCGCCCGGTGGTTGACACGGCACGGCGCGAGCAGACAGCGTCCGCCGACGGGCCATTTCTGTGGCCGGTGGCGTGGTCTGCTGTCGGCCGTGGCGGGCGCAGTCGTGCTGGAGGCGGCGACGGCCAGCACTGGTCCGGCTCGTGCTCAGAACATCGAACGGGCCATTCCGGCCAAAGCCTCGCTGCTTGGGCGTCGAGGCTGTCCAGCATCCCGGACGAGCGCGCAGCGGCGGTGAATTTCTTTGTTTTATTTTTGAGAGCGCCTTCGTTGAAATAGTACAAACCCAATGGTCCTCTGCGAGCGGTCCTTCGTCGCAGTCGCGCACACGCACACGCCACGCCGCACCGCGCGCCCGCCCACCGCCCCGCCCAGGCGGGAAATTTTTGAAAGCACTAGGCTCTAGGGCTTTAGGCTCCTCCAAAGCCCGTTGTTCCGATCAGGCCTCACCCGCCCTCCCACTCGTCACGAGCCCCCCGCCGCCTGCGGCAGCGGCTCCGCCCTGTGGCTGACCACGGGCTCGCGCAGCTCCGCCTGCGACTGGATGAGGCAGATCTCCGACCGGCCGGCGGCCTGCGTGTGCGCGAGCACAGCCTGCAGGCTGGCGCCCACCCGCTCGAGCACCTCGCCCAGCTGCTCCGCGCGCGGTAGCCGCTGCATCCACGCGAGCAGCAGAGCCGCCGTCAGGTCGCCCGTTCCCGTGAAGTCTTGACGCAGCCGCGGCAGCCGCAGCGCCCACTGCCGGCTCGCGGCACCGTCTCGTCGCGAGGCGAGCATGAGCAGCTCGTCGTCCCGGCCGGGCAGCGCAATCGAGGTGATGACCACCGTGTGCGGGCCGCGCTCGTGCAGCGCCTCGCACGCGCTGCGTGCCTCCGCCTCCGAGAGGATGCTCCTCCCGGTCAGCAGCTCCGCCTCGTACCCGTTCGGCGTGAGCACGGCGGCGAGAGGCACCACCTGGTCGCGGTAGATGGCGAGCAGCTCGGCGGGCACGTACAGCTTGCCGCCGTCGCCCATCACCGGGTCGCAAAAGTAGGCCACCTCTGGCGACGCCGCGCGCAGCCGGCGCAGCACGTCGAGGACGGCGTGCAGGAAGGAGGCTGAGCCGATGTAGCCAGTGAGAACGCAGGCGTACCCCTCGAGGAGGCCGTTGCTGTGGAGCCCGTCCACCAGCGCGGTCAGTTGCGCGCCCTGCAGCACCTCGCCACGGAAGCCGCCAGCGTAGCCGGTGTGGTTGCTGAACTGAACCGAGTTGATCGGGTCCACCTCGAAGCCGAGGAGCTGGAGCGGGAAGACGGCGGACTTGTTGCCGACGTAGCCGTGCACCGTGTGCGACTGGATGGAGAGGACACGCGGAAGGGACATCTCGTCCCTCTCACCGGCCGGCCAGTCCTCGGGAAAAATGGAGCTTGGCTAGGGTTGCGCAGCTATGAACAGGAGCGAGTTCGCGCTGCGCTAGGCTCAGACGGCGAGTTCGCGCTGCGCTAGGCTCAGTACGGCGAGTTCGCGCTCTGCACCGCTATAGCGGCTAGGCTCTCTTTTATGGAGAATTTATCTCTCGGCTGCGTTGGCTCGCCAAAGTCTTTCTTCTCGATGGCGCTGGGTCCTCCGCTGACTGGGGCGGGCGTGGGTGTGCGTGTTTTGTAGAGAAGCAAAACGCACGTCGTCCGGGTTCTGTCGTGTGTCGAGCGCGGCGTGCGGGCGGGGAGGGCCCCGAGGGGCGAGGGCGAGGCGCTGAGACGTGCGAGAGCCTGTGGCGAGAGCTAAGATAGAGCAGTGCCAGTGGCCAGTGCGAGAGTTACACACGACACACACGACACGACAGGGACACAGACACAGACACAGACACAGACGCAGACACACACTGCGCTCCCCTCAGCGGGTAGGGAGACGCGAGCCCGACGGAGTCCGGTGGTGGGGGCCCACGCAGCCAGCCCCTGCGTTGCAAAGGTTGGTGCTGAGCCGCCGCCGCCGCTCGCTCTCGAAAAGCGTCGCGCTGCTGCCCGTTCCCGGAGCGACGAGCGCGAGTTTGGTGGCCAGGGCCTTGCCTGAAGGGGGGCGGGGCAAGGGGGGAGAAGATGAGGACGTCACCGAGCGGGGGCTGCCGGGAAGGTGGTGGGCGGGGCGTGGATGCACCTTAAACGGGCGAGTAGCGGGAAGACCGTCGATACTCCGGCGGAAGAGTGCTCCCCCGCCGCCCCCTGGGTCACCCCGAGTGACCTCGCAGCCCACGCCGTGAGGCGCTGCTGTCAGGGGAATGTTGGGGGCGCGCAAAGCCGCTCGGAAGAGACGGCCAGGAGCCAAGGAGCGGCCGGAGCGCGGCGAAAGACCGAGGGGAAGTGGCCGCCGCATACAGCCTCCGGCGGGCCTCCGGCGGAAGCCTGCGGCGTGGCGCTGCGCGCGACCGGCCCCTTCTCGGTGCGCTGCAGGACGATCTCGCTCAAACGTGCGCCTGCTGGGGCGGGGCGGTCACGAGACCGGCTGAAACTGCGGCCGCAGCTGCTTGGGGGGGTGAGGATGGCCGGGCTTGAACGGCTTCTCGCGAGGTGCCCGCATCCCGACGCAGCAGCGATTTCGCCACCTTGGTCTTTCGCGGCCTTCGCCGAGCGCAGGCGAGGCCAGGGGCAAACTACGGTAAATTTCTTTTTACTCGCACCCGCGCCCGCGCCGAGCCAAAGGTGCTCCGCGGAGCCGCCAGGCGCCCACCCCGGCGGTTCGCTCGCTACGCGTCGCTCACCGCCGGGGCGGGCGCCTGGCGGCGCCGCTGCGCAAAAATTCGGTAGCGACTCCGTCGTCCCTAAATAAAAGCACTCACGGACTCCATACCCGAAAGAAAGAGAAGGGAGCTCGCGGGAGAGGTGACGAGTGAACTACAGGTAGTGGGGAAGGCAGCCTCGATTGCCATACAGACATGGGTGCGAAACAACGACAAGACCAAGGCAAGGGCAGAGGAACGAGAGAAGAATATAGGGTGGATAAAGCGCCTGTTCACGGCATGGAGGGTGAGCCACACCGAACGTACCGAGCGAAGGGCCGAGCGGAAGGAGGACGGGGAAGATGACTCGGAGGAGGACGAACCAGTGGAAATTCAGTTGTCAGATGTCACGATGCATCCGAAGGGGACCCCAGCGCCGGCATCATCCGTAGAGGCACGAGTGTTCGAAGAGAGAGTGGACCTGAGCAACAACATGACGTGTAGGCAAATGATCGGAGTGGGAGTCAGAAATGTGGTCCTTGCGCGAGGGGAGCTTGATAGACTCGAGGGGCCAGGATACGCCGCGAGGAGGACGGAGTTGCGCAAGGCGAAAGAAGCCGCGAGAACAAGGGACCGGCAGGCGGCGGCGTCGCAGGACGAGGCAGAAGAGAACGACGCGACAGAGGAGGAAGTGACAAGGGAGAGACCGACGAGAGTGGGACGGCCGCGAGGTGGCATGAAGGTTGCAGCGAGAAGCGGCGAGAGACTGCGAAAAGAGATACGAAGAGGCAGACTCCCCAGGGTGGGCGACGGCTAGCGCACCACACTCCTCTCCTTAAAATCCCTGTGTGGTGGCGGCGTGCCGTTCTCCCATCCCTCCCTTGGGTTGTGTGTTTTCTTTCTTTCTTTAGGCAATGGGGTCCTTGCGCGAGGGGAGCTCGATAGACTCGAGGGGCCAGGATACGCCGCGAGGCGGTGCGGCCGCCAGTGCCGCCATCGTTTCCGCCATCCACACTGCCACTTCCGCCCCCGCCGCTGGAACAACTGCAGGGTCGTGGGGCCGCCCCAGTGGCTCCACACCAGGCGTTTTGGCCGCGTGGGCCGCCTCCGTACCCGCCGCCCCTACCACCGCCTCCACCCCCGCCGCCGGCGGGGCCGCCACCGTATGGACCCGCTCGGAATAACCTGGAGGATCCGGAACCGCCCCGCCGGAGGCTGGAGTACCCGGGAGGAGGAGTTGGGGGAGGGGAGTTGCCGCAATACGATAACGGACCCGCCGGCGAGCCGGAGGGCCGAGGCCGGAGGGCCCCGGGGGGGGCTTGGGGTCAGCTGTCGGAGGAGGCGAGAGATGAGCTGACGCGGCCTCTGCGAATAGAGTCGGGACGTACGGACGAGCCGAGGACGATAGAGAGACAGCGGGGACGGCGCGAGTCCTCGACCGAAGGGAGCTGGCCCCGCTTCCCGGGGAGGGGCGGCGTGGCGATCCAATGCCGCCGCCCTCGCCCGAGGAGTCGGGCATGGGATCACCGTCGGTGATGGCGACAGAATCGGACAGAGAATACGAGACGGTGGCGGAGCCGCGGCTGAAAAAGGCTAGGAGGGGAGGTCGGGCCCCGCGCCCGTCGGATATTCGTCGGAAGGCGAACAAGAGGAAGAACTCAGAGGAGAGGGGAGCCTCCTCCGGAGTGAGGATGAGGACCCCGCGCGAAGGGGCCCTGAGCGGTGACGGCGTGTGAGAGTGCGTGTCGTGTTCATGTCTGGTGTTCATTATAGCTCCGAGTAGAGGGGGCGGTCTGCTGCTAGGGGAAACCCGGAGCGCGGAGCTAACCCTCGGAGACCCGTGTTTACTTTAGGCCCTTTCCCTGCGAACGCGCACCCCCGGGGCTAGGGCTCTCTTGCCCGCAACCCGACACCGATCATCCGGCCCGCTGGGTGCGCTTCTTAGCTCCTCGGCCCTGGATGTGAGGTCATCAGTGAGGTCACCGACTGCACTCCAAACCGATCATCCGGCCCGCTGGATGCGCTTCTCAGCTCACCGGCCCTGGATGTGAGGTTACCGACTGCACTCCAAGTGCTCCAAGTACTCCAAGTGCTCCAAGGCAGCCAAGGGAGGGATGGGAGGACGGCACGCCGCCACACACACACAGGGATTTCCACTGTATATTTTCAGTGTATGTAGCTCTTACCTACATTCCCGGAGGAGCACTGTCCACTGATTTTGAGAGGTGTGGTGCTAGGCCGTCGTCCACCCTCGGGCGTCTACCTCTTCTGAACTGTGTTCGCATCTATAAATAAATAAATAAATAAAACGGACACACCAAACAAGGGGTGGGAGAAGGACAGGGTCCCCACCTGCGCCGCTGCGCGAGCAGGATCGAGTGATATCGAGAGGGGCGGGGGGGGGGGGGGGGATAGAGAGAGATAGAGAGGATCTTGGAAGGACGATCAGGGACACAGCTTCAGGGGATCCTTCAGGGGAACGGGAGCAGGCGCGACATCACGTCGCTTGCCGGGAAGTTTCTCGCGCTTCCAGCGGCGCTGCCTTCGCTCTAGGTGGGCTCGGCCTGTTCCGACGCTGCACGAGCCGGCTCGAAGACAAGGCAAATGCTCTTCTCTTGCCTCACCGCTTCCTCGGTCGTGGTCGCTCCGGTTCCGCGGCGCGCGGCGCTCGCGATCGGCACTGCCGCCGCCTCGCTGCGGCCACAGGCCGCGTGCGCTGCTGTGGAAGCAGGTGCATCGCCAGCGAGCGCGATGACGCTCGGCACCATCCTCGAATCCACATCGGCACTGCCCGAGACGACCCGCGCGCCGGCCTCGCTCGTGCTCCGTCCCGAGTACGGCATTGAGAGCGCTGACGTCCTCTACCCCGAGTGGGCGCTCGGCAGGTGGGCCGCTCGCTCGACGCTCAGAAGCGTGCTGGCGCCGGCCGGCGACGAGCTCTTCTCGCCGGGCCGCAACGGCACCGAGGCGCTGCGGCGAGCGCGGCTCGAGGCGGGCACCGCGCTCGAGTACCCTGTCAAGTGGATCCAGCCGGGCGGGCGCGTGGTGGTCGACCGGGAGTACAACGTCGCCTCCATCTCGCGCGCAACCATGGGCCCGGAGGCGGTGCAGGACGCGCGCGCCGACGGCCCCGACCACCTGACGATGGTGCTGCGACCTGCCGGTGCGCCGTCGGGCTCGCTCTTCAGCGCGGACCTGCGGGTGGTCGGCCGGAGGACGGACCCATACCCGCTCGCGGAGCGGCCTAACTTCTTTGCATGCGCTGAGACGACGCGGCAGACTGTGACGACCGTCGCGGGCGAGCGCGCCGCGCCCGGACCGCCACGCGCGCCGCTGATCAAGGAGATCGAGACCATCTGCACTTACGAGCTCGACTCGCGCGACAGCAGAGTGATGCGTGGGCAGCAGCGCACCGCCTCCTTCCTCGTCCCGGACGCTGGCTACACGGGCGACCCGAGCCTCGCGGAACTCGCGGCCTCGCGCCTCGCGCGCGCGCCAAACGGCCGTATCATGGCCGTCGACGTGCGAGTCTACGACGTGACCTACACGAGATTGTGAGCTCACAGAGCGCTCGGCTGCCTCCGTGCCCGGCCGGCGGCCGCGTCGCTGGCCCGTACGACCGTGTTGGACCGCGAGCTGTCTCGCGCTCGACACGCACCGCGTAGCTTCATATGTTTAAAAGCATGATTCACTGCCTATTTCTTTTTGCATTAAGGAGTAATGGAGAAGTCTGTCCGCGCCTAAGGATTCTGCCATTCCTATTGGCTATTCTGCTCTACTACACAAGGATTCTTGCTATTCTACCTCTCACTAGATTCCCCTTCCCAGGTTCCTCTTCTGCTCAGATATTCTGATTCTCTCCCCAGACTCTCCCATCTTGGCCCCGCTTTCAGCTTCCTGATTCTCCATTCTCGTTTCCTCCGCTTCCTTTCCGATTCTCTAGGGCAGCCAGAGCCAATTCCTGATTCTGCTCCCCCCTCCCGATTCTCCTGTCTCTCTTCCTATTCTTGATGCTCCATTTGATTCCTGATTCCTGATTCCTGATTTGTCGGATCGCCCACATTTTGACCGGGATTCTGATTCCTGATTCCTGATTCCTGATTCCTGATTCCAACATTTTGACCGGGATTCTGATTCCTGATTCCTGATTCCTGATTCCTGATTCCTGATTCCTCGGAGTTACGCATTTCGGCGGGATCCTATGTTGGCCTGACTCTCCGAACTCCTGAGCCGATATTGCGTGTGCGCGGGGCTTCACACAGCTCACTCAAACTTCGCCCGCGGCAGCATGCTCAGGCGCGGGTCTCTCTGGCGCTCCAGCCTCACATCAGCGCACTCAGCGCTTAGGCCTCGGTCCGGCGTCCGCAAAGGCGCAGTGTGTGGTGCGGGCTCTGCCCGCCCCCCCGAGGAGAGGGGGGGGGGGGGGGCGCTCCCGCGCGGGGGGGAGCCGAGCGAAGCTCGGCTCGGGTTCAAACTATAACTAACCCTCCCCCTTTTCCCTTTTTCTAAAACTGCTCGCCGCGAGCGGCTCGCTTCTAAAACGAGCTCGCCGCGGCTGTCGCCGCGTCTCGCCTGTCTAGGCGTCGTGATGCGTGTGTGCTTTTGAGCTGGGCGTATAAGAAGAAGAAATTGAAGCACTCCTCCCATTGACTTAGTACGAGCACCGAGACACGAGACAGCAGCCTACCCGTTCTACACCCACACCGCCGCGGAGCTGCCTAGCTGGCGGGTGCATTCACAGCGAGCCCGCGGGCTTGGAGACCCAATCAGACAGCACTCCCCACAGCAAAAGAGCAGACGTGCCGCTGTGAGCATCGCTGAGCAGCACCAACGCTTGCGGGGTCGCCGCAGGCCGGCGCCAAGCTGCATCTGACGCCGGCATGCCGTTCAAACCCCGGCACCAAGCGCCCGCGGGAATGGGAGACCGCCTGCCCAGAATTAAGATCGGCCGCGCACTGCTCTGGCTCCACCATGCCACCGCCCATGAGATCTCTGACGCACGTGTGATGAGCCGCCGTTCAAAAGTGACTGTACTGTGCGGAGCGCGGAGCGCACTTCGATGGCAAAGTGGGTGGCGCGGAGGATACGGCGCGTACACATGAGCGTGATTGGTTGAGTGAGCATGCCCAGATGGCCGGCCGGCCGGGCTACCGCCCCTCGACGGGCAAAAACAGGAATCAGGAAACGAGAGTCCGGCCGGGTTGCCAAGAAATCGGCGGGCAGCGCGGAAAATTCCCTTTCCGGCATCCGGAGGCAGAAACCGCAACCGCGCGACAGAATCTGATAAGGCGAGAATCGGACGGACAGAATCAGATCGAGTAGGCAGAAACGGAAGCTGGGTGAGGAATCCTGCCCGGAGGCTGAGTGCGTGGAAAGGGGACGGGCAGAATCAGATCGAGTAGGCAGAACCGGAAAAGGAGAGTGAGAATCAGAAGAAACGGACACGAATCCCTCTCGAGCCTCCGCATACAGAATCCTGTCTTGGGTGGCAGAATCGCTAGTGCAGAATCCTCAGGCGTGGACAGGGTTCTCCAAGACTGGCATTAAGCATATCTTAGGGCGCACACAGAGGCGAGAGAGCTCAGAGCCACAGCGGCGCACAGGAGTGTCTCAGGGACAGGGTCTCAGAGTGGAGACCCACTGAGAGTAAAACCCACGCGCCCCGGCGTGTGGGTGTGCTACCGAGACGAGGGAGGGAGCAGGACTTTGCGGAGATCAGCAGGAGGATGTACGAAGAGATTAGGAGCAGCAGGGACCCGAGGGACCATGTGGAAGACGGGCGGCTAGTCGCAATATCGGGAGGACGACCCCCCAGCTAGTCGCCGACCCCACACCCACAAAGAACCCTGCACAAAGATCGCACGGGCGGGGACCTGTTCCTTTTTACCCATCTCACAGTAGAGAGGTGTCCGTTTTTGTTTGTTTATTTATTTATGTGCTACCGTCTCCAATCGAGCTACACTGAGGCCAACGCCTCCGCAGCCTTGGCCCTGCAGCAGCTCGGCCTCCGCTCCGGAAATGCCAAGTGCGCTCGGCAGCCCATCCGGCGACGAGCCTGTGATGCTGGCGTAGACCACGATGGCCGCGAGGTAGGTGCCGAGAGGGCAGAGGGATGGGTGGCGTCCCGGTCGTAGAGGCGGTACCACAGATCGCGGTCGGCGCCATACACGAGCTCAAAGGCCGACCCCACGGGTGCAATGATTGGCGCGCGGCCGTCGGTCGTTATGAGCGACGCGTACCGCCTGTACCCCTCCTCCACGGCGTCATTCATTGGCAAAAAAGACTGGAAGTGTGGAGGACGGTTGAGGCTGCCGCGGCGGCCCCATGTCTGGTAGAGGACCGTCGTTGCTCCCGCCTCCTTGATCGCGGCGTCGAGCTGAACGAGCGCCCTGGTCGACGCCTCAAAGTCTTCGTCTTGATCCGTGTAGCAGCACCTGCTCGGGATGTCAGACCGATCCTGCAGGACCACAAAGTCAAAACCACTGGCCAGGGCCACATGGTGGCCGGAGCTCGGGGAAGACACCTCCTGCCAGTGGTAGTTGAGACTCGAGCCCCCCTTTGTCAACGCCTGCACGCGGGGCGAGTCGCCGAGGGCGGCGAGGAGTTGAAGTAGCACGCCATTGACGCCGCCATTGTAGTACGTGTACGAGTTGCCCATCATGAGGACCGCAAGCCCAGGAGGCGGCGACGGCGGCAGCGGGGGCAGGCCGAAAGGTGCGCAGCCGCCGCAGACCTCTGGGAATTCCTCCGCCACTTGCTGACATGCGGACGGCTCAGATTTCCCCTCGACGTCCTCCACCCAAGCAATGCGACCGCCACAGGTGGCGCTCTCCGTCGGTGTGGTGGCGAGAACGGTGGCCGTGCAAGAGCTGACGCCGCAGCGGCCGACGGGAGGTGGGGGCGCGGAGCACGCCGGCGGCCGCTCCTGGCCGCAGAGCGTCTCGCTCACCCAATACGGCTCGTCCGTCGCAGGATCGGCGTTGGCCCCAGTCCTCGATGCGAGGCAGCGTGAGCCCGACTCATGCGTCTCGCTAGGCCTCGCGGGGAAGCTGCAGCATATCGGCTTGCCGAAGCAGAGCTCGCAGCTCTTGTAGTGCGAGGCCGCCGATTGATCGAGGCGGCAGTACCAGGCGTATCCCGGCGAGGCGATTGGTGTTGGTGCCGGCCGCGGCGGTGGCGATGGCGAGGGCGACGGCGAGGGCGACAGCGAGGGCGGTGGCGGTAGTGAGGGCGAGGGCGAGGGCGGTGGCGGTGGTGAGAGCGAGGGCGAGGGCGGTGGCGAGGGCGAGAGCGAGGGCGAGGGTGATGGTGAGGGCGAGGGAACGGGCGCGCAAGGGTCACACGGGACAGGGATCTCGTCGGCGACAAACTGCTTCTCCGCGACGAGTTGCTTCGCCTCGGCGAGAGACAGGGCTCCGCCAGCCATGGTTTGCTTCCACTCGATCCGAGCTCCGCAGGAGTAGGTCGCCATTGGCGTCTGTCGCTGGCAAGTTCCAGACGTCACTGCACTCCAAGGCAGCCACTTGTGTGTCGGTTTTCGTGGCACCATCGACTGCGTTCTGCAAAGAAGAGCGCGCAAGCGGAGTTGTCGCGAGGTGCCACATCTCCTTCAGTCGCCGAGAGTGGTCATTTGTACGACGAGTCGTGAGTCTTCCGACGAGCGAGCGATGACGAAGAGGTCCTCAGCACCACCTTCGGGGAGCTCGTATCGATCGGCCGCGCCCGTCGCGAACTGCTGTAACTTGCGGTGCGTGCTGACGTACGTACGTTGCCGGTCATGGTTCGCGCGCTGCGCAAGGACCAGAGCTCTCGGCCAGTCCAAAAGACGGCGGCGCTGCCATCCTCCGAGGTGTCGCGATGCGCCCGCGACGTCGTCGCGCCCTGGCTGTCGCGTTTCGGCAACGGGCTCGATCCCCTCACCCTCACCTACATGACTGACGTGCCCTCTGCGACTTGGCCGCTGGGTGCGGATCACCCTCTGTCAGGGAGCCACACGCTCCCCAAATAGAGTCGCTGGCTGTGCGGCCGTAGGGCTCTCCGCATCGCTGCACGGCGTGCCGCTCGTGGTTGTGGCGCATGGCGTGCGATGGAGGCTGGAGAGCAAGCTGCCGGGCGTCTCCCGAGCGCTGCAGGTGCTGCAGGCCGCCGCTCCCGAGCGGCCGGTCGTCTTCGCTGACGGCACGGACACGGTGTTTGTGCGATCCGCTCGTTCGGATGTCGACGGCGCGCTCCTGCAACAGGTCTCTCGCTCCTCTGGCCGAGTGGTCTTCTCGGCCGAGTGTGGCTCGTGGCCCCGGTGCTACCGCGCAAACTACACAGGCCACGCGCTGCACCACGCCTGTCTCGCAAAGGGGCATCGCACGTGCTTCCCAAACTCTGGCGCGTACATTGGCTCGAGCTCCGCCCTGCTCCGTCTCCTTCCGGAGCTCGTGCGAGCTCAGGCGCCGGGATTCGGCAACAAGGCGGAGGAGGGGGACGACCAGGCGGCGGTGCACTTTGCACTGCTCGGCACGGTAGCGCGAGGGATGGATCTGGCGATGGACGAGGAAAGCGACCTCTTTCTCAACATGAACGCATGCAAGGGCAGCGGCCGGCTCAAAAAGTACCACGGCCTCACCGAGCGCTGCCACTTTGGGCCCTATGAGCCGATGAAGACGCTGACGCGCTCCTATGGCGCGCCGGGCCAGCTGACGATTGGGCAGCGCGTATCCGGGAAAACTCACTCGCCGCTGCTAGTCCATGCCAATGGGAACCACGACCGACTCGACCGCACTTTCTTTGGACGCCCGGGCGCTGGAGGCGAGCTGCGCCTCTCCAGAGAAGCCGCGCGCAACCTAACCGCGCTGTGGCGTGGCGCACTGCTGCCTCAGCCAAACGCACAATTGCTCCACCCAGTGCTGCTGATAGACTCCGCCAGGGGAGGCCCGTGCAGAATAGCGACGCTGGACGAGCTTCTCAGGTCTTAGAGTAGGAGTACGCTGACGCGTGGGACACGGCAGACGCGCGGCCGCCGACACGGGGTACGGTATAGCTCGGGGTAGGTGCAGGGAGGCCCACCAGAACGCCGGCACTGCGCCACACACCAACTAAATAAAAGAGACAGTCAAAAACATGAGGCGGCCATGTTTTTAGTTATTTAGATTAAGCCGGGTGTTTTTAGATGAAGCCGGGGGCGTGCACGCTGCTCGCGCCCTGGAACAAAACAACAAGCGCAGCGCACGCCGATGCGCGGCCTCTGTAACGTCTCTATCGGAGCATCACGATCTCTAGCATTCAGGGTGCATGTAAGATGGGTCGCGGCGACGCGGACACCGAGAGCTGCAACGCGAGCGTTCGAGCGGCGGAGTCTCTCTGCTGTGCGCACCGCGTGTCAGTTCAGGGCGGTGCGCACAGCACGCGCGCGGTCTGCCTCATCAGACGCGGCGCCCCGTCGGGGGGCGGCGGGGCGACCAGACCCTCCTCCTCGCCTGCGGCGAGCGCCCGCTCCGCCGTGCGGTAGACGACGTCGTCGTCCAGATAGGCGCCGCGCGCGGTGGCTGTGGACGGCGGCGGCGTCAGCCATGTGTGGTTGAGGCACTGCTCGATGGTGGCGCGCGCAGTCGCGTCGATGGTGAGGAGCGCGTCGCAAAACTCGCGCGCGGCGGGCGAGAAGGGGCAGGAGCGGTTGTACATGCGGAAGATGGCGTCGCACGGGCCGACGCCGTTGGCGACGCTCTGCGCCAGCCTGGCGAACCGCCAGTCGGACGCCTTCGCCTCGTCGAAGGGGAAGAAGCCAGACAGCAGCGAAAAGACGAGGACGCCGTACGCCCAGCAGTCGACGGGGGGGGCGTGGTAGCCGGCCGAGGCGAAGAAGAGCTCGGGCGCCATCCACGACTTGGAGCCCACGCCGTCGTACAGCAGCACCGGCTCGACGCTGCCGTCCGGCGCGAGCGGGACCTGCGGCAGGCGAGGGGAGGCGAGGGTGGGTGGGCGAGGGGAGAGCGAGGGCGGGTGGGGAGCTGCCGTGCGGGGTGACGGCGGCGGCGGGGGGGGGGGGGGGAAAAAGGCCAATTCCCTCTCCAAAGGGGGGGGTTCCCCCGCCGGGGGACCTGGGGGGGGAGGGCAAAAACAATCCGCTTTGGGGCCCTCGGGTCCTCGGCTGAGAGCATCACGTTCTCGAGCTTGACGTCGCGGTGCGCGATGCCGCGCGAGAGGCAGTGGCGGAGCGCCTCGGCGATATTTCTCGCAAAGGGCCGCGCCGCGCGCTCCGATAGGCAGCCAGAGTCGATCAGCCGGTCAAAGAGCTCTCCCCCGCTGCAGATCTCGAGGAAGAGGAACGCCCTGCCTCCGGGCCGCGGGTCCTCGACGAAGCCATGCAGCTCGATAATGGCCGGGTGGCCCGCCACGAGCTCTAGTATCTGCGCCTCCCTGCGCAGGTCCGCCACCCTCCCACGCTTGGCCGCGACGTAGAGCGGCGGGGATGCAGTCTGGTCGACGGCGCGGAAGACCTGTCCGAAGCCTCCAGAGCCGAGGAGACGGTCGAGGTTCACCTCGAACCTCCCGATCTGCTCCCGCGACGACATATAATGTGTGCGGGACGCGATTACCCTGTCTCACTAGCCCTCCTTTCTGTCTCACTAGCAGTAGGCCGTGGCCTGGACCGGGACGAGAACGCTGGAGGCGAGAAGAATTTTCGCAACAAAGCTCTTATAAATTTTGGAAAGAAGTTGGGCTCGGAGGGACGGCCGGACAAGCGCCGACAAGGGAGGAAGGAGAAAAAACAGTGCCCGAGGCCATGGCGGCTGCAGGCAGCGAGTCCCAGCAGGCGGTGGCGTGACACGAGGCTGCTAGGTTTTCTCTCGAGATATTCCTTATTCGCCGTCCCCGCCGCTCAGACCCGCATCAAGGCGCTCGTCCTCGACTTTGACTCGACACTGTCAACCCCGACATGGCTGTCGCGCGCGCAGCAATGGGCGGTGGCCGACAACTTGCCGCTCTTCGAGTCTATGGACGAGGCCGAGATTATCGCCAACCTCGGTGGCGCGGCGCGGCTGGCGACGCTCCACACGCTGCTTGGCGCGCTGGAGGCGAGCGGTGTCGTGCTGCACATTGTCTCGATCGGCCGGAAAGCGGCCATCGTCCCGCACCTTCGCGCGGCGCGGCTGCTGCCGTACTTTGGGGAGCGCGTGTGGGGGCAGGCGTGCCTGCGGTAGATAGAGGACGGCGGTGGCACGCAGAGAGGGGAAGGAGTGAGCGGCGGCACACAACAGTCCCACACGGCGTGGCAGGACTGCGAGGAGCTGCGCTCGCTCGGCTTCGTCAAGGGCCGGCTCATCAAGCGGATCATGCACGCGCGCGGCTGGGCGCACGCCGAGGTGCGCCCACGGCTGTGGCCGGTGGTAGCTATAGCTCCGCCGCATCAGAGCCATGCGGTCCACTCGCTTGGCCCGGCGCCGACGTGTGGCCGTGTGAGCGCCGCCGTAGGTCCTCTTCGTCGACGACTCGCAGGAGCACCTTGACGCGGCGGCAGAGGCACGCAAATGCAGCGGCAGGCTTGCGTCCGCACGGCAATCAGCGCAGCATTGCGGCGAAGTAGGTGTGCCGCACGATGATGGTCACGAGCAAGGCGGTGGTCGGCGGCATGGGCGATGCCGAATTCAGTGCCCTCCGAGCCGCCGCGGGGCTGCCGCCGGCGACGGCGGCGGAGGGCGCGGGGTTTATCTCCTCTTGACCGCCGGAGAGATACTCCGCCGCCCCGCGCCCAGAAAAAGAGAAAGTTGTAGATCACACATGTAAACTACATCATGTGGAGAGAGATTTTTGTCATCATGTATGCGCCGTGAGGCCGCGTTCGTTGGTTTTGTGTGGATTCGCGCGCGGCTCGCTCTGGCGATGTCTGCTCACCCACGCCCCACGACAAGAAGAGAGACCCAACGTGCCGTTCAGCGTTCTGCCGAGCCCAAATACTCTAACTGTGGAGCACCGCTCTTGGAGCACACTGCTGGAGAGGGAGGTGTCAGTTTTTATTTATTTACTGCTGGAGAGTGGAGTGGCGAGTGCAGTCATCAACCGCACATCCAGAGGGCCGGGGACTTCGAGGCCGGGGAGCTCAGAAGCGCACCCAGCGGGCCGGATGATTGGCATCGGGTTTGTGAGAGTCGTGATTTATTGTTGGTTTTCAAAAATCTCTCGCCCTCACGAGTGGGGTCTGGCCACTCTGCTCTCTGGCGGCGGTGGCCGCGGGCCTTTTGTCGCTTGTTTGTGTCGACTTTGATATGGCATATGCGTGGCGCGTGTGTAGGCTCCGCTGGAGCGCTGTGGTCCGCCGCTGTCCGCGCGGGCGGTGGAGATGCGAGGGTCGCCCCCCCCTTACCTTCCAGCTTCCTTCCTTACCTTTACCTTACCTTGCGTTTCTAGCCACGGCTACTTTCTCTCTCTTTGGTGCTTGGAATTCATTATCCCAACCCCCGAGGGATGCGGGGAACAAGACCGCATCTGAGAAAAGACCTGGAAGTGTCGCATTATCCCAACCCCCGAGGGATGAGGGGAACAAGGTCGCATGCGAGGGGATCGCAATCTCTCCCATAATAACAACGAGAAAAGACCCGGAAGTGTCGCATGTGCATGTGGTCTGGAACTTTTGCTTTTGCCTCCGGCGGACATAGGAGGACTAACTGCGATACCGCCATTGACCATGGCGTCAGCGAGCAGTGTGGCGGGCGAGGTGCGCCACAGCGTCGCCATGGCGGGGGGGCGGGCTTGGGGGTGGGAGGGGGGCACCCCGCCCGAACGGCGCTGCAGCCAGCAGCGGTGAGCTCGCCTCGCAACGCCAACACCGCTGCGGTAACCAGCGCTTATGCCGCCCCCAGGTGCCTGCTGACGACGACACGGAAGGTGAAGGCGCGGAGGCGGAGGGCAGGGAGGAGGAGTGCAGGCTGCCCAAGCAGAACATCATGCGCATCATGAAGAAGGAGCTGCCCGAGAGGAGCAAGATTGCGCGTGACGCAACTTCAGCCATGACGGTGCCTAGCCCCCCCCCCCTTTGTCTGCGGCGCGGCGGACAAAAGCGCCGCCGCCAACCCTCCTCTCCCCGACTTTCCCTCAGCTCTGCAAGCAGCGCCCAGACCCCCGTTCGCTGTTCTGCACAGGAGTTCCTGAACGAGTTTATTTGCTTTGTGTTCGCCGAAGCAAACGACCTCGCGCAACAGCAGGGGAGCAGGGTCGTTAAGATGGAGCACGTCATCGAGGTGCGCCCACTTGGAGGGGCCCGAAGGCCCTCGCCACCCGCGTGAGAGTCGCCTCTCCGCCTGCTCTCCGCAGGCCGCGCAAGACTTGGGCTTCGATGACTACGTTGGTGTCCTCAAAGAAATGATGACGGAGGACGGCGAGGTGATACAGCCTCGCAAAGCCTCGCGCAGGACCGCGGCAGGGACATCCACCGAGGTGGTGGACTGAGCACCCACTGTTTCGGGCCGACCAGCTGCTGCTCTCGCGCGCTGCTTTTGAACGGGACTGCGCTGAGTCTGACTCGAGCCGCCGCTCCCCCGCGCCCTTGTACCTTTGCCTCTCAGCATGCATGGCCATGCGCCGCCACCCTGCTTGTGGCTTTGCGCGCTTCCCACGACGGCATTCTCTGCTCGCAGCCCCCCCGAGTGCTACCTGCGCCCCGCATTCGGCTGCCCATCTCGCATCACATATCCATCGAACATATCCCGACCGCGAGACCGCGAGCGAGCCGCACCCATCTCCCGGCCGAGGCCTCGTGGTTGGCGTTGCTTGGCCTTCCAGCGCCCTACTAGTTACCCTCTTAGGCTCCGCACTTTCGCGCTAAGATCCGATCTGCGTTCGAGAGAGCGACACTGTACCTATCCTTCACTTAGATCTTAGTATCTCTCTCCGTGGGTGACATACGTCTCGTGTAATATTTGAGCACCACATGTACATGTAATGGTGAGCTGTGTTGTCTTATGTTACTCGTACACGTTGTGTCATCTAATCTGCACATCTTCCAATCGTGGACGTGGTTAATGCAACACAACTCTCACAAGAGATCAGGCCCCACCGCGCAGGGGAAGGCGCCGCCCCCGGCCCCCGCCGCCCGCGCCGCCAGTGCTCGAACTTTACCGGTATGGGAGTTTTTGGCTAATCAAACACGCTTCCCTAGGCCTGCACTAATCAAAAAGTGGTATGGGAGGTAGACCACCTACCTCTCACGGAAACACCATGACCAAAGCCGAGTCCGAGACCGAGTCGCGAGAGGCGAGAGTGCGCACATTTTTGCGGCGAAATCGGCGAAATCGGCAAAATACCCGGTATTTTGCGGGTATACCTGCAAAAACCCGGGTATACCCGGGTAATACCCGCACTTTTGCATGGCTTCGCCTCCTGGGACCACACCCTCAGCCGCTACACTAATCACCACTCCGCATACCACTTTCGCATACCACTATACCATACCACTTCAAATCGCACGCCGCCGATAGGTTAGGGTGGCGGCACGGTCCACCGGGGCGGGGCGACTATGGGCCGAAGTGGCCTTTGCCACCCTTCCCCTTGCCACGCGCGCCCTTTCCGCCGCCCTTGCCCTGGCCGCGCCCGCCCTTGCCAGCGCCTGGCCCAAGTCCCTTGCCATTCCCGCGGCCCGCCTGCGGCTCCGCTGCCGCTGCTCCTGCCCCCGCCGTCCCCACCTCTCCCGCCGCCGCGGCGACGAGCCTGGCCTCCTCGGGCGTCTCCTCCGACTCGCGCAGCCAACTCGGCGCGACGTTGGGCTCCTCCGCCACCGCCGCCGCCGTCGGTGGTGCGTGCAGGAAGGCGCAACCGTGTTCGGACTCGGACCGCACGCACGTGCCGGTCGCGTGGAAGGCGAGGCAGTGCTGGCCGAATCGCGCCGACCACCAGCCCATCCGCTCCTGCTCGGGCGAGGCGGGTGTGGGACACACGTGGGGCGGCGGGCGGCTGCGCGCGCGAAAGGGGGTGCGGGGCACTGGTGCGTTCAGACCGCTACGTGTGAGCGCGCTCCTGCTCGGGCATCGCCCGCAGCTGCGCCACTTGCAGGTCGGTAGGCGGCACGCGGCCGGCGCGGAAGTACGTGTCGTCCGGCTTGCCCTCTCGCCGTGCCTTGCGAGCCATCCGCGCCTCAAACTCCTTGCGCTTGTCCCGGTTGCGCCTCTCGCACTCCGCGCGCCAGCCGAGCGCCTCGATCGCCTCGGCGTCCTCCAGCGCGACGACGCCGCCCTCGGCGTGCGCCACGCAGGCGCGCACGATCGCGCCCAGCTGCGCCAGACTCGACGCCGCCTCTAGGCGAGGAAGCAGCCGCGTCTCCGCCAGCGCGTCGCGGCAGATGCGCCGGACGTGGAAGCGCGCGCAAGGCACGTCGCTGGGCCCGCCGGAGAGCACGCCGTGCTTCTCGCACAGGGCGAGGTACTCGAGCGCGAGCTGAGGCCGCGTGGGCAGGCCTCCGCCGCTGGTGCTGCTGCCTGCCGCCGCCGCAACCTTGGGAAGCTTGGGCAGCGCCGCGAGCTCGCGCTTGAGCCTCTTGAGGCGCTTGGCGCTCTTCTTGGCCGCGGTCGGGTCAACACTCTTGAGGAGGGTGCTCCTCTTGGCCGCGGTCGGGTCCGCGCCGCCCGCGCCGCCGCCGCCCTCCCCCAAGGCGTCGATGCGCTTGCGCAGCTTGCGCTTGCGCTGCGCAGCCTCCGCCGCCGCGCGGCCGAAGATGGCCGGGTCGTCGAGCGCCCCCTCCGCTGACATGACGCCGTCCGCCCCTGTGGCGGCGAGCGCGGAGAGGAGGTCGGCGGCGCTGCGCACGTTCCCGTTCGACAGCACCGGCATCTGCTCCCCGGCCGCACGCTTCACCTCCGCCACAACCGCAGCCACCTGCTCGAGGTGCGCGGGCCCGTCCCTGCGGCGAGTCGCCGAGCCGCGGTAGCGTCCGTGCACGGCGAGCAGCGCGCAGCCCGCGTCGCGCAGCTGGCGCACGAAGGAGAGGGTCTCGTCGAGCTCGTCGAGCAGTCGGATCTTGCAAAAGACCGGCACACGTAGGTGGCTGCTCAGCGTGCGCACGATGGAGAGCACTGTCGCGCGGCCTTCCGCTGTCGCGCACAGGTACGAGCCAAAGTTGCCCGAGTGAGCGACCCTCTGCGGGCAGCCGAGGTTGAGATCAACGGCGCACACGTGCGGCTCCGCCAGCCTGGCCGCCTTGAGCAGCGTCGCGGGACAGTTGCCGCAAAAGTGGGCGACGAGCGGCGCGTCACCAGGCGCGGTCCGCAGCTCGGCCTGCCGGTACGCGTCATCCTCCACGAAGCGCGCCGAGTAAATCATCGGAGTGTAGCAGAGGTCGGCGCCGTACTTGCGCGACAGCAGGCGGAACGGCAGCTCACTCGCACCGACCATAGGCGCCAGGACTAGCCGGTGCGGAGGCAGCGGCCGGACCGGCGTCACATGACTCGGCAGCGCGGCTCGGCTCGCCTTCTGCTTCTTCTTTGCACTCCCAGCCGCGGGAGCACCACTGCGCTTCTTTGAGTGAGTGGAGAGCGCGGGGACCTTCATATACAAGGGGGGGGGGCGTAGTCGTCGCCCCACCAGGGCGGTCGCGGTCGGCGGATTTCTTTTTTGAAATTTTCCTTGTCACACTCGCTGTCGGGGATCGCTTGTCATGTGACAGAGCGTGGTGCACGGCGGGTTTCTCCTTCTTCGCGACTGCCTGCACCACTCACTGCCTGCGCCTCGGGCAACGCCTCTGGCCCAAACGATGGGTGGCCATGGCGGCCTCAACATCCTTCCTCAGAAGTCGTGGAACGTGTACAACCGCGACAACCGCCAGAAGGTCGAGCGCGATGAGGCGGAGGCGGCGGCCGCGGCGACCGAGTCGGCGCGTGCGGCGGCCTCGCAGCGGATGCAGGCCAACGTCGAGGAGATGCGAGCGCGGCGTGCGGAGGTGTCTGGCGAGGCGAGCGCGGCCCCGCTGCGCCACGTCAACTTCTTCGAGGCCGAGGAGCTCGCGCGCGGCAACGAGGCGGCCGCCGCCGAGGCGCGCGCCGCCGACGCTCGCGCGACAGCGCGCCTCATGCCGGACCTGCAGCTGGGCCGCTCCGCGGCGGAGCCGCGGCCGTGGTATGCAAACATAACCGCGCCAGCTCTGCGGCCGCACGGCGCCGCGGCCACCGCCACCACCACGAACGCGCCGGCTCTGCGGCAACACGGCGCCGCTGCCAGCGCCGCTGGCGGTGGCGGCGGCGCTGGCGGCGGCCGGTCGCCCGCTCTCCTTGCACAGCCTGGCTCGCAGGCCGCGGAGCGGCCGGGGTCGATCGGCAGACGCGATTCGCGCTCGCGCTCGCGCTCGCGCTCGCCATCGCGCGACAGCAGCGGCAAGAAGAAGCGGAAGAAGGAGAAGAAGGAGAAGCGCAAGAGGAAGCGCAGGAGAGAGGACGACGAGTCGGAGGCAGGCAGGAGGAGCGGCGGCGGCGCGGCTGAGGGAGGAGGAGCGGCGCTCGCGCGGCTGAGGGAGGAGCGGCGGCGACGCGAGATGCTGGAGCGGCGGCGTGCGGACGAGGTGCTCCTCGACGGCCCGAGCGCCCGGCCCTCGGGCGCCGTGGGCGCGTAGGGCTTGGGTGGTTGTTTTTCACGAAACAGAATGGAGCCCTCTCTCTACGAACCGCGTTTCAGATTTTCCGCATTTTCGGTTGTTTGTGCGCGTTCCGGCTTGGCCAAGGCGACTCCACCAGCCTCAGCATCGCCCGTTGGGAGGCACACCCCCAGTCGCACGCCGCGCCGGGCACGCTGAAGTGCCGCACCTCGTATGCGGCGGCGGCCATCGAGCCGGCGGCGGCCTGGAACATCGCCCGGAGGTGCTGGATGGGCGCCTCTGCCTGGCCGACGTACGGCGTAATCTCGACGACGGTGGTGAAGGGGCGGCAGAAGAGGAGGTTGGTGAGGGCGCCGTCGTGACCGGCGACGACGAGCGAAGCGTTGGTGAAGAGGCGCACCTGCTCCACCAGCGCCAGCGACGCGAACGTCCCTCCCGTGACGACGGCCGTGCTCCAGCCCCGCTCGCCGAGCGCGAGCCGCAGCGCCGCCAGCTTGCTCGAGTTGCCTCGCAGCAGCAGCCGGTGGTGGCGGAAGATGGCGGGGCCGGCCGAGGAGGAGGCAACCTCCCGCGAGACGAATAGGCCGGACCGAGCGGGCGCACTCATCCCGTCCAGGTCGAGGCCCGCCGCCTTAGCCACCTCGAGGCGGGCCCACCTCCAAGGCCGCTCCGCCAGGCAGCAGTCGAGGTACGACTGCGCAGAGCCGCACCGTTCCTGCGCGCGCTGGCGCATCGCGGCCGTCCGGAGCGCCATAGCGTCGCAGCGCCTCAACCACGCGACGGAAACGCTGCTGCCGTTGCCCACTCGGCGGCCTTTGCCGAACGCGAGCGAGGGGCCGTCCCAAATCTGCACCGGCAGCACCTCGAGCACTCTGGCCACCATCCGTGTCCTCGGCACGCCCGCGAGGGTGACGCACCGGTGCGGCGTGGCGGCGAGCTGGGCGGCGATCGGCACCAGCAGCGCAAACACCGTGTGGTAGTAGCTGCCCATGAGCGTCCGCACGTGATTGCGCTCGTCCGGTGGCACGGCAATCCGGAGGCAATCGGCAGGCGGCGTAGCTGGAGGTCCTTGGCGGGCAGGCGACGGAATTGCGCGCGATCGGACGTCGAGCATAGGGACCCCCCGAACGTGCTTCAGCAAGCAGTTTCAGAAGCGCTTTTTCTGCAGCGCTGTGCTTCTCAGGGTTTGGACTTTCTGCGGGGTATGGTATGGTGCTGCAACCCACCTCGAGACCATACCCCCCCCGCCTGCTGACAGACCCAGCCTCCCGGAGACCGGGGATTGGCGGTCAGGACCATACCCCCCCACCCTTTGGGCCGCGAGGGTACCATACCCCGGAAAAAGTTGGAACCCAGGGACCACACAGGCATGTTCACAGCGAGCGATGGGGGCGCCGGTGGAAGGCGTCGAAACCATGGCTCTGCGAAGCCGAAGGCCGAAGGCGAAGCTCGAGAGTGGAGAGATTTTTAGCAATACCAAACAAATCTAACACTCACACGTCATTTGGGGCCTGGAGCCCCTGCAGACTGATCTTTATGGTGGTTTAAAGGCCTATTTCGGCTCTTGGGCGGCCGCCCTCAAACCCTATAGGGTTTGCGTTCGTCCGCGCGCGGCCCCAATGCCGGGCGCCCTGTTCACGCGCGCGCGAGACGTGCAGACAGGGTTGCCAGGTGAGAGCGAATGGCGCGGTTCACGCCTCGCACAACAGAGAGAGAGATGCGCTCTGCATGGTGGGACATAAAAGAGAGCGAGTACTTGGGCGAGTAGGCCGTGCGGTCGACGCTGCCGCGCGCGACTTTGCGCGCGAGGCGGCGCAGCTTGAGAACGGCGGTGGGCGAGAAGCCGCCGCCGAACGTCTCGTGGAGCAGCAGGTTGAAGTTGTTGCGCTTGACAAAGATCGCGTCGTGGTAGAAACCGCGATGCGCCTTGACGTAGCCGTGGCCGGTCTTGTGGGAGAAGGGTTGGCCGGGCTGCCCGCGCGCCTTGCAGCCCATGTTTAGGCGGCGGGCCTTCTCTTCGGTGTTACCAAAGGCGTAGGAGTGGCCAACGGAGGCGGGCGTGCCGCCACTCGAGGCGTTGCCAACGCCCGGCGAGGAGGTCTTGAGGAGGGGCGTCCAGAGCTTGATTTCATTCACGTCATCGCACCCTCCTGGTCCCGCATGGGGTTCTGCGAGGTCAGTCTTGTACCCCTCGTTGTACTGCGGCTGGTTGCAGGGTCAGGGCGGGGTGGCCATGTCCCTAGTGCCTTTTTGAGCCTGCCGCGGCGAGCGGCCGGGGGGGCGGGGGCAGAGCCCCCGCGAAGCGATTTTTGACGAATTTGAGCCATTTTCGGTCATTTTCAAGAGGATTTTGACACTTTGAGGAGAGCGGAAGTCAGTAACATCGCACGCAGTTCGCGCCCTGGTACACAGTTCAACAACATTTAACCCGTACACATCAAGTACTGTACTAATGCGCAACATATATCAAGACACGCGCTCACCAGCAGCGCGCTCGGATAGCATCGTCTATCGCGGGCTCCATCGCGTACTCTTTGGGTGGCGGCGGCGGCGGTGGCAACGCCCCTGGTAGCGCCGTCACCTTAGCCTTTGGTGCCCTCTTTGAGCGGCGCAATTCTGATTGCAGCGGTGGGAGCTCACCCGTCGGGGTCATCGTAAAGTTGACGCCACGCAGCTCCGTCGCGTTGATGTCTCTTGCAGCCCGAGGCGCTCGACGAGCTTCGCGATCATGTACGCCGCGTCGTCGTCGGAGCCCTTGGCCCAGCCCTGCACAGCTCCGACGAGGCCGTGCCGCCAGTGGTCGAGGTAGCCTTTCGGATTGCCGTCCGCGTCCTTGCCCCTCGGCAGCTTCTGTTTCGGCCGAGCCGGCATGCCGGAGAGCCGCACCCGCCGCAGTTTCCACCATATGCCTTCCTCGTGCCGCCACTGCTCTACCGTCCCGTACTTGGCGTACGGCCGCGTACGCCACTCGGGCTCCTTGGGCGCCGGCGTCGGCTGCGCCTCGACCTTCTGCTGCTTGCGGTGGCGCGCGAGCGCCTGCTTGGCCTCCTCGTGCGCGAGCCGCGCCGCCTCCCGCGCCGCCAACGGCTCGCGCACCGCCTCGGCATACGCGAGCGAGGCCTGCTCCTCGGCTCGCGTGGCGGCTTGCTCGGCGCTCACGGCGCGCACCTCGGCGGCGCGCAGCGCTGCCTGCAGCTGCTGCGTCGCGCCGAGCATCGTGAAGGCATTCTTCGGCAGCTCTGTGGATGACGAGGCTTCGGCAGCGCGCCGCTCCTTCATTCGCTGCTCGGCGGCGTCGACGACGGCATCACCGATCTCGACGCGCACGCGCCGCTTGGCCTCGAGGGCGCAAGCGAGCTTGTTTGGCCGGTCGCCGCTACACGGAATGCGCCTCCTGGCCTTGCTGCCGCCGGACTGAGCCACGTAGTACGTGACGGTCATGTTGTTCAAAATGGGGCCGTCATATTTGCTGTCGATGGCGTTCGAGACGCCCTCTACATCGTTGAGAAGGGCAAGCTGCTCCACAAGGGTCGTCTCGTTCGGCTCCATAGTGACCCCGCGTGGATCGCGAAACGATGCAAGATGTGGAACGGCAAAAATCAAAAATCAAAAATCGAGTAGACTTCGAAAGCGACGTGTAGACTTCGACGGACTTTTAAAAGAGCTTTCCAACGGTGTGCGACTCGTCGAACGAATCCAACTGGGAGGCACTAGGGACATGGGTCACGAGAGCCACCCCGCCCTGACCCTGCAACCAGCCCTGCCGGGTGAGCTCTGGTTTCTCCTTGTCGCCGTGCACGACCGGCGCGTTGGCCGGGGCGCGCATCGCGTCCGCCCAGGCGGCGAGGACGCCGTCGTGGGGCCGCCGGTGGTGGGCCTTGTTGTAAAGGTAGTCGCCGAAGAAATCGACTGGCATGCCCCGCTCGAGCGCGACCCGAAGGGTGGGAAGCGCCGCGGAGAGCCAAAGGCCGAGCTTTCGCTGGAGCTCGTCCTGGAGGGTGTCGGAGGAGAGGGCGGTGGCGTACGTACCGTCGACACGGACATCGAAGGCCTTGCCGGCGAAAGGCGTTGAGGCGGAGACGAAGCGCGCGGCTTCGCGGTTGTTGACGGCGCTGTCTCCGAGGGACGGGTTGTTCTTGACGTGCACATCCCGCGCCTTGACGAGCTCCTGGTGCGCGTACCAGTCCTTGTGATTCTTGATGGCAGCGAGCGCCCGCGGCCGCGGGTACGTGGATTTGCAAGTGCCATTGAGAATCGCGTCGGTAGCTGGAAGGGACTCGGGCTCGGGGAGCGGGACGCTCTTGGGGTAGAACTCAGTCAGGTAGCCGCCGCGGACGGTGTAGTACTTGTTTTTGTCGCGGGCGGCGCGCTTCTCGCACACCTCTTTCCAGTCCGAGAGGGCGGACTCGTAGGTGGCGATAGCTGCGGCGATGGCGGGGTACTTGGATGCACCTCCCTCGTCGTGGGCGAAGTCGGGGTTGTCGAGAGTGGAGAGAGGAGAGAGTGGGAGATGGACGACGGTGAACCAAGAACAAGACGCAATAGAGCTTGGAAATCATTTCTGCAGCTGCGGCAATAAACTCATCGAACACACGACAGAATTGCGGATTGTGCTAACCTACGTGGGTCGTGGCGTCTCACGGCCCGCACAAACACGCTCGCTCGGAACGAACGAAAGCGGCATGGAATGCGGCAAGCAAGCCCCAGCGCGCCAGCCCAGCGCAACGAAGCCAAAGAGAGGCAGAGATTAGTTACAACAACGGTGAAAGGCAAACGCTCAGTCCGCGCACAGTGCGTCACTAATCCCCTCACCGCTTCCGGCGAAAATCTCCACGCACGGCCACGGGTTCTCGACCGAAACGCGGGTGGGTGTGCACACTGCACACGCCGTCGGGAGGACGACCCCGGCTAGCTGCCGACCCACCCCCTGCCTCAATGATTCCTGCATAAAGACAGGCTGGGGACCCACTCCTTGCACCCATCTCTGAAACAGCCTCACGATAACCGCCAAAGCCCGCCTGGTCATCCCTCCTGGGCCTCATGAGAATCGGGCTCAGCCTTCCATAAGCGGTACCGGACGGCGAATCCCTCGGGCACGTACACCACGCAGGGTAGGCGGCTGTTGTAGCGCACGAGCAGCGGCTGCATGCCAACGAACTGGAGACTCGGCGGTGAGTCGCCGAGCGGAGCCATGCGCGTCGATGCCGCCGCGCCGTCAGACGTCGCGACATAGTAGTGGTAGCCCCACCCTTGCAAAGTCTTCTCCTCCACAGAGCCAGACAAGCGGACTCTGTTTACCCCGTCCGTCTCCAGGTATTTTCCCACCTGCGATGCATTGACGCGCGGTGCGGCAGGGTTGGAACTTGCGTGCTCTGTCGCGCATGAGTTGAACTTGGAGCCCTTGGAGTGTGGGTGTACTCTCGGCGACGGCGTGCACTCATATCTCTCCTTCCACGCACCGTGAACTCGAGCTTGGCAGCCCCCTCATCGGGGAGCGCCTCGAGGTGGATGACGATGCGCTTCCAGGCGGCGCCCTCACATCCTGGTGGCGTGGCTGAGAACGCCTTCTCCCAGTTCGAGGACATTACGGTGACGCTCGGCTCTCCGAAAAGGCACACAGCTGCGCGCGAATGTAAGTATGTAACTCGAGGGACGTCCGAGAGTACGGAGGGCAGGGAAGCCGTGAAGAGTTGCGGCTGTGAACAAAGACGACCCACTTTGTTTTTCAGTACATTCCCATAGGAGGAGTCTGATGAAGGGTTCCACCCGCCGATTCTGAGAAGAGAATTTTACAAAGAAACTCCCTCGCACGACACTAGGCACCACACCCCTCTCCTTAAAATCCCTGTGTGGTGGCGGCGTGCCGTCCTCCCATCCCTCCCTTGGGTTGTCCGTTTTCTTTCTTTCTTTCTTACACTAGGCACGGGACTGGCGCGCACTGGCTCTACTTAGAAGAGAATCTCGCCATCTCGCTGGCCTCTCCGCAAGGCCCCCCGACCGCGTCGAACCCATCGGCGCGGCATGCCTCCGCATACGTCTTTTTTCTTTTTCGATTTTCGGCCCCGGATTCGCTTGCTTTGCTTGCCAAGCAAGGAGCGATCCAGGCCTGGATCGCCTGCATCTGGAGGCGCTGGCCACCTAAACGGCTTGAGGCCCATGACCTCACTCCTCGGCAACACTGCCACCGCGAGGTTCGAGCTCCCATCCACGGACTCGCCGTGGCAAGTCGCCTTTGGAGCGCCAAGCAAACTCGGCCGATGCCTGTCTCCTCGCACATTCTTGGCGTTCCGTGTCCTCCTTGCTCTTTTCTGGACCGGCATCACAATCTGGAGCATGGTGGACCACAAGGCCAATGACCTCGAGACGGCGCCAGAATTCTACATCTACCTCACCAACTGGAGCCTTCTCATCGAGTGGTTCTACCTCGTGTCTGCGACATTCGTCACTCGGATGGCACTCCGCAACCCAAAGCGAACTGCGCTGGATGGCGCTCCATCAAAGACGCCGCTCTTTGCGCGCATCACGTACGCAGCACAGGTCGAGACCTACGTCCTCTCCTTCTTCGTATTCGTGCTCTACTGGGCGCTCGTTTACGATGGCGGCACCATCCATGCTCTCTCGGTCTTCACCCACGGCGTCAACTTCCTCGTCGCGCTCGCAGACTGCCTGGTCGCGGGCATCCCAATGCGCCTCGTGCAGTTCTGGCTCCCCTTCGTCATCTCGAGCACGTGCGTGAGAGTAGAGTAGACCTCCGCACATCCTTCTTGTTCTTCATCACAGCTCGGTCTCTTAGGTACGTCATCTTCTCGGTTGTCTACGACCTCGCCGGCGGCACCGCCGACGGAGACTCATACATCTACTCGGTCCTCGACTGGTCCGAAGATCCGGGCACCGCCGCCACATACGCGGTCCTCGTCATCCTCGTCGCCTTCCCTGTCGTCTTCGCAGCTTGCGTGTTCGGCGTCTACCCTCTGCGTGCACGGTGCGACTGCTGCCCGCCCGCTCATCCAGAGCACCGCCGGCACTGCCCGACACCGCTGGCGCTTCCGCCCGCGCGCCACGAGCCGACGCCCGCGCGCCGCGAGCTGACGCCCAAACTCGAGGCAGAGCCGGTTGCCCCCGGGCACGCGCAGACTGTGGCACCGTAGAAGGCGGCAGCCCAGGGTGCGCACAGTACAGTATTGGCGCGTGGCGCGATGGCGTCCTGCCCGTCATCCTTTCCGCACACGCCTCCATGTGTCGGATGTCAAGTACAGTCGATTCCGACGTCGACGATCGTGCTGTGTCGCGCTGTGTCCTGTGACCTCCCCCCGGGCTGGCCGGGCTGCGAGTCGCCGTTCTCCGGGCTCTCAGCGGTTTTTTGCTTCTGTGTACGTCGTTGATTTCAGTATAGTACGTGCGAAAAAACTCGGACCCACGAAGACAAGGAGCGCGCGCCAATGGCCGCCTCCGTGACACTCCCACCTCCTGGGCCGGCGCGGGAGTTTTACTGCCGAGTTTCTCCCGGCCGGCCGCCTCCTGACACGCCCACTGACCGAGCCCATCGAAAAAAATTCGGCGCGCCGCACTGCTCTGACCCCTGCTCGCCCCTGCTCGCCCCTGCTCGCCACTGTCGCCTCGGTTGCCGAGGCTGCCGCGCACCCGCGCGCTACGCGACTACGAACTGCACCAGCTGGGCTCGAACCAACGACCAAAACGTCCCCGACCCGAACGCTGCACCAACTAGGCCACACCGCAGGCTCGATATGCAATACGCACAAAACTGGCCGCTCATAAAGCACTACTCATTTGCCGAGGCCACGCGGCGCCCCTCCACAGCCAGCCTACCCTCCTATCGCGCCACTCGAAGCCCCGCGGCCGCCTCTCGCCTACCGCGCTGCCCTCGCCTGCCACCGCACCGCCCGCGCTCCAGCCTAACCAGCTCTGCATCTCGCAACACACACTTGACAGGGACAGACCAGGCGCAGGAAAAGGGAGCGGGGCCCGAATCCAAGGGACCACCCCGTCGGGCGGAGGAGCTGTGAACTCAGGTCCAGCAGGAAGGCTGCTGGCTCCTGACTCATCCCCCAAATCCCCCACACCTTGGCGGCCTGAAACCTTACCATTCCGACACCTCACACACACCCCTCCCCTAGGGCTAAGCAGTGCGCGAGCCCACCCGACTTCAGGCGAGACGTTGACCACTCCTCGGGAATAGTTCTGTCAGTGGCTGCACTAAGGTGTCCGTTTTCATTTATTTATTTATCACTCAAGTGACCATGCAAGTGACGTAGTGTACGACGCACGCGCGCACACCGCGCGGACAACACAGGTATCCACAAGAATCAAACAGTACAAAGATGTTCATGCAGACGCAAAATTCTAAACTGCACCGTGAAGCCGCACCGCTGCGTGCAGTGCGAAGGAAGCGCAGCAGGCCGACTACACGGTAAGGCATACGGACCTTGCAGAAAACCTTTTCCTTCTAAGCAGGGCTACACAATGACCCTATAGTGTGTGGGTGTTCCTGGCGAGTTGTGATGAGTAGAATTAGACTAGCCAATACTATTTTGAAGTTCATATATGAAAATACCAACTTGCCTATGTGCACGTCTCCGCCGCGGCGGCCCGGAGGCGGCCCGGCGGAGCGGTCAGAGCAGCACTGCGCGGGCCGGCGATCGACTCTCGACTATAGTACGGGCTCTATTGAATGGCCTCAAGGTGCTCTCTAGGGCTGCCCTATTCCGCTCGCCCGGCTACGTCGCCGGGCTTCGAAGGAAAAGGTTTCGCTCGGCACGGGCGTCGGAGAGCAAACTTCGACGTTCGTCCTATAGTGGAAGCTGGACGCACGTAGGCAAGTGGCCCATGACCAGGCGGGCTGCTGCTCAGAATCTGGGCCGTCGGCGCTCGCTCTCGCGCTCTTCATAACGGCGTTGCCCCCTCCCTCCCGCGCCGACGTTGGGCAGCCCGACCACGACAACGTCAGCGCCGCTGGCCTGCAACTCGAGGCGCCTTTGAATGAGCACGAGCCGGTGCGCGGCGGCGGCGCGGGTGATGCAGCCCAAGGTGACGGCGACGGCAGAGGGGGCGGCGCCGGCGGCGGAGGAGGCGGCAGCGGCGGCGATGGCCGCGGGGTCGGCCCGCCCGCCTTTGCTGCTGGTGCTGTGGGCATCATCACAGCTCAGCGGCGGTGTGCGACCAGGGCCAGTGGTAGACTTTCGACGCGGTGAGGCTGCTCTCTGAGCAATGACACTAGCAAGAGCATCATGTGTGTCATCGGAGTCACTTGTATTACGATACCACCACGCCGCCACGCTCGCAAGGGCCGCCTAAGCGCCTAAGCACCCTAAGCACCCCCCCGCTTAGGCCGCTTAGGCGCTTAGGCGAGTGACGGCCGGCTGCCCGGGGCCTGGCGTGCCTCCGCCGTGGGCTGAGCGCCCGGGAGAGCCACTCTGCAAGTGGTGTGCGAGCGTGTAGCCTTTAGCGTGCAGTCGGCCAGCAGATTACTCGATCTGAAAGCCGTCGTGCCGGTGCTCTACTGCCAGCAGCAACTTTGCCCGCAGCTGTTCACGGGTCGCATACGGCGGCAAGTGCACCTCGTGCGTGCATGTGTGCACGTTGGGCAGGTCGTGCTCGTCGGCGCTCTCGTAGAGCTTGAGGGTGATCGGGTCCTTGAGGCCGCCGCAGGGCAGCGCCGTGAGCGCCGTGCTCCACTCGAGGAGGTGCAGCCGCGCGAGACTGCCCAGCCCCGTCTCGGGTGACTCGTCGAGGATGATCTCGCGCAAGTAGCGCGGCGCGTCGGAGCCGGCGGCCGCGAAGCCCGCCTTCGCCTCGGCGCTGACCGACGCGTCCGGCCAAGCGAAGCACCCAAGGAGCTGCTCGCGGCTTAGCTCGGTGTTTCCGCGCAGCATGCGCAGCAGCTCTGCGGCGCTGAGCGCGCCGAGCTGCAGCCGGAGGTCGATGGTCTCCGTGAAGCCGTCGCACAGTGCCCGGAGGCTCGCCTCCCGGATCGTGAGCAGCTTGTGGCGGCAGCCGGCCAGCACCGCGCTCTCCATCGCCGCGCTCTCCGGCGGCACCTCCTCCTCCGCCGCGTCCGGGTCGAACAAATCGAGCGTCAGGCCTGCGGGTGGCTGCACGAGCAGCTGCGCCCACCGCTGCGAGAGCTCGGGGTCGAAGTCGGAGAGCACGGCGAGTGCGGAGTGCACATCCTTGAAGACGCGCCACTCGTGCGCGTCCGCCAGAAACTCGAACACGAACCGGCCGAGCCCGCGGCCGAGGGGCTGGTCGTCGAGCACGCACCGGCACATGATGCGGCCGATGTTGTTCATCGACTGCAGGTCGGCGGTGGGCGAAGGCAGCAGCCCGATGCTCGTCGACGTATCGTCGCCGGCGCCCTCGAAGAGGCCAAAGTCCGCGAGCAGCACCTCACGGAAGAAGCAAGAGTAGAGCTCGACAGTCAGGCCGCCGAGGTCCTCCCCCTCCTCCTTGCTGCCGTGCACATCGACGAAGGTCACCTCGGTGCGCTGGAAGAGCTTGAGCTTGGTGTCTGCCGCCTTGATGGCGGGCGAGAAATGCCCAACGACATCTTGGCAGAGCTGGTTGCGCCGGACCGTTAGTCGCCACGGCTTGTTGCGCGCCGTCTTTGACGGCAGGTACTGCAGCAGCATCTCGACGTACTGACGGAAGGCGAGGAAGCGCCGGAGGAAGGCGCCCTCGTCGAGCTCGTCAGCAGCAACCACGAGCGTCGACGTGGCGCTCGACGCGGCGGCCTCATCGAGCGGCTCGGAAGCAAACTCGGCGGTGAGGGAATGCTGACCCGCCGCCTCGACGCGGGCGCGCTTGGCGGGCGGCGGGCTCGCGTCGCTGGCTGCAGAAGTGACTCCGGGTGAGCCGTGTACGGCGGTGGCGCCCGGCTCGGTCGGCGGCTGTGGCTGCGGCTCCGGCGTATCCTCCTCCTCGTCCTCCGAGTCGTCGAGAAAGAGGCGGCGCTGTGGCTGCGGCGGCTGCGACGGTGGCGACGGTGGGGGCGCGGAAGACTGCGCTGCGCGGCCAGCAGCGCCGGCTGCAAGGGGCTGTGCCGCATCCTCTGCCTTTGCCGGCTCCTCCACCGCCCCCACCACGTCGGCCGACGCCGGCTCGACACCGTCGACGTCCATCGCCGTGCCCGCCGCGCAATCGTCGTCCTCTACATCGCTCACCTCCTCCTCCGACGAGTCCTCATGCTCATACTGCAATTTCCGCCATCTCTCCAGCGCCCTCTCCGCCTCGGGAGGCTCCTTCGTCTCCGCCTCCTCCTCCTCCTCCGGATCCTCCTCCTCCAGCTCCGCCTCCGACTCGGAAGAGGCGTCCGACTCCGACGTGGCGTCCGACTGGGACGGCGACTCCTCCACCTGCGCGTCCGCGTCCAGCTCTGAGGCGCCGCTCACCTCCCTCGCCGCGGGAAGAGCTCCATCCGCCGCCTGCTGCGACTGCGACGGCGGCTGCGACGGAGGCGGCACCGCCGTGCCGACCGCCGCGCCGCCCGCCGCGCCGCCCACACCCACCAGTGCGCCGATCGCGGCGCCCCCCGCCACACCGATCGCCGCGCCTGTGTCGACGTTCATCGCCCTGCGGCCGATTCTGAAGAATACGTCTATGCTGGACCCGACGTCTGGCAAAGGCAGAGGGGAAGAGCTGACCAACACGCCCAAAGGCGACGGCGGCGGCAGCAGGAGCGGCGGAGGAGGCGCGGCCTGTTGCGGCGGCGGCGGCAGCAGCGCGGGCGGCGGAGGAGGAGGAGGCGCGGTCTGCGGCGGCGGCGGCGGCGCGGGCGGCGGAGGAGGAGGAGGCGCGGTCTGCGGCGGCGGCGGCGGCGCGGGCAGAGGCGCGGCCTGCTGCGGCGGCGGCAGCGCGGGCGGCGGAGGAGGCAGCGGAGGAGGCGCGGCCTGCGGATAAGGAGGTGGCGCCCGAAGGCCGCCACTCAAGTCTCGCTTTGTCGGGAGCAAGGCTGTTGGGGCAACGCCGTTGAAACGACGGTGGCAGGGCTCGAACGCGTCGGACGTGTATTCATCCATGAATAGTTTCTCTGTGGTCATCTCGAGCACACCGTCCGCAGAGATGTTCTCGGGGCAGCACAGCAACTTGCACGCGGCCCTCATGCCCAAGGCGCGGCCTTTGATCTCCACGAGGGCTATCAGCCCGCCCTCGCCGACGGGCCTGATTGCGCTCCGGAAGACCTTCGATCGATTGTCAGCCAGCGATTGCAGATGCCGCAGGCGATCCGGACAGCTGCGCGTCTTCTCTATCCTAAACCATTTCGCCGTCGCCATCGCCGCGTCATCCACCGTCTCCGCGACTGAACCCACTGCCGTCGACACCGCCGTGGCTGCTTGCGGCTGTGACTCCGCCTCCTCGAGACGCCGCTGCTGCTGCCACGGCGCCGCGGATTTGGCGGTGGCCACCTCGGAGAGAACGGCCGCCTTGCGCTTCAACGGCGTGAGCGGCTCATCTTCCTCGCCATCAACAGCGGCGGCAGTCGGCGCCGCCGCGGCCGGGGTGAGCAGCGAAGAGCGGTGCGATAGCGACGCGTCGACCATCGACACCGTCAGAGATGGGGACTGTGGCGCCGCAGCGCTCCACTCCTCCAGGCCTCTCCCAGCCGCCTCTGCCGCCTCTGCCGCCTCTGCCGCCTCTGCCGCCGCCGCCGCCGCCGCCTGCGACGCCGCCGCCGCCTCCGCCGCCGCCGCCTCTGCCTCTGCCGCCGCCGCCGCCTCCGCCGCCGCCGCCGCCACCGCCGGAGCCGCTGTCAGGTCCACCTCGGGCGAGACGGTGGCCACCACAGCCTCTGGGGCGCCCCCCCCCTCGACCACGCTCTCCGCCGGCAGCAGCACGCTCTCCATCCATATTTCCATCGCGTCGACCTTGCTGCTGTCCGGAACGAGCGACTGCGGCTGCGCCGGAGGCGTGCTAGAGGACAACACCTTTGCCTCCTGCCTCTCGAGCAGCGCGGACGTTGACACCGCCGGTGCCGCCGACGCCCTCGCCGCCAGCGCCTGCGCCCGGCGTCGCTGCTCACGTTTCAGCTGGTTGTCCTGGGCCAACCTCAATTTCATCCGGAGCAGCATGACGAGGAGCTCGCCGGATCGCGTTGTGGCGAGCGCTCTCCAACAAAGCTCAACAAGGCTCTCTACAGCCGACCACTGGCCAAGCTTCTTTCTTTTTGACCGCAAGCGCGGACGGCCTCGCCCTCGACGGCACCCATCTCAACCTGCAGTACGTCCGCCTGCTCGAGGCGGCGCTGCCAGCCTAGAGATACCTGCCAGCAAACCTGCTTAGAGAGGCGACCGTTAGATCTTAGAGAGGCGACCTTGCTCCTTGGAGCACTTAAATAAATACGAAACGGACACGCCAAACGAGGGAATGGATGGGAGGAGGACAGGGTCCCCACCTGAACGAGCAGGACGGCACGCCGCCACCACACAGGGATTTCACTGGAAGGAAGGTGTGTTACTGGGGAACGGGAGCCTTCCCGCGGTTTTGACCGCGCAAGATATAAAGGGTGGCCTACTGGCTCTGCCCGCAAGGCGCCCGCGTCGCAGACGCGGTACCATTGACAAATCTGCAATAGACCCCCACACGAACAAATAGCAAAATTCGAATACCGTGCAGAAACCATGATCCATGTGATCTGAGCCGTGGACGGGGGGCAAGCCTTCAGCTGGTGCCAAGACATTCGTAAAATTGAAGCCAAGAACGTACCCCCCTCTGAGTGAGGACAGGAGAGAGAGAGCTTTTGTGGTGTTGGTGTACGCAATAACGGGACAGGGTAGTCGTTCTCTCTAGCTCCCCTTCTAGCTCTTGGCATGAGCAGCGCCCTGTGTCCGACCCCTTTTGCGCAGCAACACCTTAAACTTTTAGGCCCTCCAAATTCGGGTCGGAGCGTAGCGGAGTGGGCCCCGAGTTTGAAAAAGGCGACGGACGCTTGCGTCCTAGCCTCCAACAACGCCTCCCCGGCGCAGAGGGGCCCCCGGAGGGATGCTCAACCGCTCCACGCCACGCCGCTTGCGGCGGTCCTATTCCCAGCTCCGCTGATAAAGAAAGAAAGAAAGAAAACAGACAACCCAAGGGAGGGATGGGAGGACGGCACGCCGCCACCACACAGGGATTTTAAGGAGAGGTGTGTGGTGCGCTAGCCGTCGCCCACCCTAGGGAGTCCGCCTCTTCCTATCTCTCTTCGCAGTCTCTCTCCGATTCTCGCTGCAACCTTCATGCCACCTCGCGGTCGTCCCACTCTCGTCGTTCTCTCCCTTGTCATTTCCTCCTCTGCTCGCAGCTCCGCTGATGATATTACATGTCGCGAAGCGTGGTTTTTCTCGCCCAACAGGCCTGCTGGGCGCCCCGCGTTTTCATGGAGGACCTCGCTGTGCTCCAGCGCGAGCACGCGGCGCTCCGTCACCGCGTGCTGCGGCTGCTCGAGTCGTGCGCTGGCGAGCTTGTGCATGGCGCGCAGCTCTCACCGCACGGGCCGCTGCCAGTCTCGCCGCATCTGCCGCAGCCGCCGAGGGCGCCGCTGCCGCCGCGTGGCCCGATCCCTCCGGCGCCCGATCCGCATGCCGAGCTGCAGCGCGGGCTGCTCGACTTCCTCGTAGTGCGCGGTGCGACGCTCGCATTGCCGGCGAGCGCGGCGGCACTGCTCTCGCTCACTGTCGAGCGTCATCCGGAGCTGTCGAGGTACGAGGTTGGCGCGGGCAACGTGACGCGCGCGCTCTTCGAGCTCCAGAACCTGGTGCCCGCCGCGGTGCGGGTCGAGCAGGGCGAGCTGGCGTTCCTCGACGCCACCGCCCTCTCGGCCTTCCAGGACCGGCTGCTCGGCCGCCCGTCCGCTGGCGCCTCGGCGGGCACCGCGGGCGGCGGGGACAAGGGTGGGCGGAAGCGGACGGCGACGGCCGCGCACGATAGCGAGCTGGCGGCAGTGATGGATCTGGTGGGGACAAAGTCGGCCAAGGAGAAGGAGCGGCAGGAGCAGGCGGCCGAGCTGCGAGCCGCGTCGCTGTAGCCGCTTCACTGTCGCCGGCCTCTCGCGGCACGTCCAGCGACACGTCCAGCGACACGTCCAGCGACACGTCCAGCGACACGTCCAGCGATACGTCCAGCGACACGTCCAGTGACACGTCCAGCGACACGTCCAGCGACACGTCCAGCGATACGTCCAATGCGACAGGCGGACGAGCTGCTCGAGCTGCTTCACAAGCCGACGGCGCGGCAGGCGAGCGAGACGGACCGCTTCCGGACGGCGGGCGGCTCCAAGCTGCAAGAGTTTTGCCGGCGCGCGGCCAGAGGGCGGAGCGGCTGCCCGCCAGAGCGTGCGCCTGTGAGGCGCGGGGGGCGTGCTGGCGAGTAGGCACGGCACCAAGGAGGACTGCGCGCGGCTGAACGGGACGGGGATGCCGTGCGGCCACATCCACTTCCGGCGCATCATCAAGCCCCACACGGACGTCTCGCTCGGCGACTGCTCGTACCTCGACACGTGCCGGCACATGGCGACTTGCCGCTTCATCCACTACGAGGTGGACCACACGGACGCGCAGCGCATGCGCCAGGGCTCGGCCCAGCTCGACCCGTTTGCGCGCACCGCGACCAACCGCGTGGACGACGACCCCTTCTCGCGCCACTACGAGTCTCAGTTTGTCAACTGCGACATCCGCACCTTCCCGATGCAAACGCTGGGCAAGTTCCCGGTCCGGACACGCCGCAGCCCCCGCACGCGCGATCTCTCCGCGCGGGGCACGCGCGCGACACGCCCGCGACGCCTCCGGTAGGTCATCATGGCGGACCCGCCGTGGGACATCCACATGGAGCTCCCTTACGGGACCATGTCCGACGACGAGATGCGCCGGATGAACGTGCAGGTGCTCCCCCGGCGGGCGACCAATAACGCGACCCGCGCCCGAGACACGTCCTCGGCAGTGTCTCGACACGCCGCACCTCCACGACTGCGCGCAGGTGCTGCAGGACGACGGCGTCCTCTTCCTGTGGGTGACTGGGCGGGCGATGGAGCTAGGGCGCGAGTGCCTCGAGATCTGGGGGTACCGCTTCGTGCAGGAGCTGCTCTGGGTCAAGACCAACCAGCTGCAGCGCATCATCCGCACGGGGCGGACCGGCCACTGGATCAACCACTCCAAGGAGCACTGCCTCATCGGCGTCAAGGGCGACCTCGACGACCGGTTCAACCAGAACCTCGACTGCGACGTCATCTGCGCGGAGGTGCGCGAGTTGCGCCCATGGGCCGCGGGAGATGCGCCCATGGAGCGCCTGAGCCATGGCCCGCCCGTGGCCCGCCCGTGACACGCGTGTCGTCTGCTCAGGTGCGCGAGACGTCTCGCAAGCCCGACGAGATGTACGACCTGCTCGAGCGGCTCGCGCCGGGCCAGCGCAAGCTCGAGCTCTTCGGGCGGCCGCACAACGTGCACAAGGGCTGGACCACGCTCGGCAACCAGCTCGGCAAGACGCAGATCGCGGAGCCGTGGCTGAGGCAGCACCTGCTCGACGAGGGCGTCTTCGAGCCGCAAGACCTAGCGCCGATGCCCACGCCGCCCCGCGACCCGCTCGTGCCGCCCTGGGGAGGGCACGACCCGCCCGAGCGGCTGCCAAGGGAGGGCATGCAGTGAGAAAAGAGGACTGCCGCGGCGCGTGCGAGCCCGCGGCCTTCGCCTCGGAACAGTCAATCAGTCACTCGTCTCCCTACTCCCACAACGCGCCAAAACGCATTGCGCAATATTGTGCCCCCACACCCTGGCAGTGTGTCGGTTTGGTGTGACACGGGACTAGCAATTGCCGATTTTTTTATGCGCGCATGTATTGAACTACGTTTGCAGAGCTGGGAGGTGTGCATAAACCAGATCCCACTATGTTATATCATAGGATATAACATACTGAGATACCAGGCTCTTCCCTGGCATATCAGCTATCAAGAAACCGTCTGATTTCTAGGAGGAGGAGCTCTGTATTCTGCTTTTTCGACATATCCCACAGATCACATCCGGGCCATGGGAATATCGGTCCAGACGCTCTGGGTTCTGGTTTTTCGAGGTGTGAACGATCTCCCGGAGGGGTCATTCCGCCGGAATGACCCCTCATTAACTAATCGGATTCCGAATGGGTCGAACGGGAGTACTAAGACAGCAGCATGTTCTGGGTGGGAGGAACCCTTGGTAACGTTCTGGTTTCTGGTTTCTGCGATATCGAGTGCGATGGAGCGCCCCTCGTTGCTTTCACCTCTCAACGGCGACGAGAAGCGGCTCACTACGGTGCCTCAGCGCACAGTGTCGCTCCTCTGTGAGACTGACGCAAAACAGGCCAGCGTTCAGTTGCTCAAGCGCCAGGCACTCGGCGTTTGGCACGCCGACGCCCTGTCCGACGTTGAGAATGCCATTGGCGACCTGCACTTCTGGCCAACGACCTGGTCGAAGGACCCTCGCAGCCATGACTACGACATGCAGCGCCTCGGACGGTCCAAGCGGCTCGACAATCGCGAGCGCTTCGAACTCTTCCGATTTGTGGTTGGCAATGGCGCATCACCCGCTCTGGCCGTCGAACTCCTTGCCGCGTCGGAAAGCCTGCCAGACACGTTCGCCATAACCCAAATGGAAAACCTCGTGAAGAAGGCTGCCGAAGGCAGCTTCTCGAAGTATAAGGCATACATCATGGCGGACCGCAAGTGGGCCCCGGTCTTTTGCGTGCCAGAGCAGAAGCCTCTGCCTCTTGTGCCAAACGAGGGGTACCGCCTCCCCAGCGAGGCCACACGCCACGCAGTGCTCTACGTCCGGCACGAGCCGAACGGTCTTGCGGCTCGGGTCGTCGCGAAGCTGAGAGGCAAGCCGATCGACAATGGGCAGCTTCTTTAGCAGATACCGCACCGCAGGAGCGGAAAGGCCTGCCGGCATCTCCCCAGCAATACGCTCCGCGCGTAAGGGCGTCCCAGGTGGGTAGAGGTTGAGCGCAACCACGAAGCTGATGAAATCCTCCGCCGAGTTGATTGGGTGGAGCTCCTGCGCGAAGGCACTTGCGCCATCCTTGATGTGTTCGAGCTCGTGGAGACCGAGCTCGTCGAGCCAGCTCGCCATCGGGGACCGAAAAAGCAGATCCCAGAATAACAGATCGCGTGACGCGCAATGTTCTTTCTCTCTGTGATTTCGTGCTCGATACCCCCGGGTACGGACGGGGGTACACCTGTTCATTGGCCGGAATGAGCTCATTAGGACGAAGCGGGAGATGTATTCACACCGCAGAAACCAGACCCACGGGCAGATCCCGCGGGAAATCGAGGCGGGTGTCCCAGAAAACAGATCCCAGAAAAAACAGAGCGCACCGCAGAAACCGACCGACCCCTGGGTTTTCGGCTATGCGAAACCGCAATGGGAAACCGGAGCAGAAACCCTATGGGAAACCGAGGTCTGGTATCTGCTTTGTGCACGAATGAGAGCTGGGACCTCTCAAGCACGTCACACAGCCAAGCAGTATCACCAAAGATTCTCACGACTCACGCGAGCGCAGTGGCGTCTCTCTCCCTATAAGTTTCTATGTCTCTCCTCACCAGTTCTTCTCGTCATCGTCCAAGTGGTGGTGGCCAAAGCCGTACATCAGCTGCTCCGTGGACGCGGGCAGCTGGTCGGGGCGGAGGGGTCCGTCGAAGGCCTCGACGCGCCAGCCGTTGTAGTAGCCGCACGCGCAGTGGCCAAGCTCGCAGCGCGACTCGCCATAGAAGCCCGCGGAGGGAAGGCCGCCATTCTCGCACCTGCCGGCGGTGATCGCGCCGAGCTCGAGCCGGAAGGGGCCCTCCTCGCCGTCGGCAAGCAGCACGTACATGTGCGCGACCCCCTCATTGAGCTGGTACAGCCCGCGGTTCCGGAAGGCGGAGAACGGCAGCTTGAAGGTGAACCACTCGCCCAGCAGGCACTCGTGCCCGCCCTCGTCGCCAAAGTCGCCGACGCCGAGCGAGTCGTACCGCTCCCGCGCCTCGGCGTCCGCGAGCAGCGCGTACGCCCGGCTCAGCACCTGGAAGCGCTCCTCGCTCCCTCCGCCGTCGGGGTGCGCCTCCTTCGCCAGCGAGACGTACGCGGCGCGAACCTCCTCGGCACTCGCGTCGGGGTCGACGCCGAGGACGGCGTAGGGGCCTCCCGCCGCCGCCGCCCGCCCGCCCGCCGCCGCTGCCGGGCGCGGCCCCGCCGGCAGCGGCGCGCGGAACGTCCAGTGCGAGTCCGAGGCCGACGCCTCGGCCTGCAGCACGAGCTCGTACGGCCGCCCATCGGTGCGCAGGGTCACCTCGAGCCAGTGGTGCTGCGACAAGTCCCACAGCCAGCGGGCGGAGGAGCCCATCCCGCACGCGCCCCCGCCGAGCCGGCTCGAGGCCGCGTCCGCCGCCCGCGCCCCCTCGAGCAGCCTCCTCGCCCCGCCGCTCGAGCGCGCATGCATGCCACTCAGCAGCAGCGTGCCGTGCTCCGTCTGGTGGAGCGTGGCGGTGGAGTGGCTGAGCGCCTCCTCGTCTGGCAGCGGATACCACTGCGGCAGCCCGCGCGCGCCCGCGACGAAGATGGGCAGGTCGTCGTCGCCGCGCAGGAACTCGACCCCGTGAGAGAGCAGGTTCTTGCCGTACCGCTGCAGCAGCACCGGCAGCTCGAACGAGTCGGAGAGCCGCTGGATGACGCCGCCGACGGAGCCCGTCTGCAGCGCCTTGGAGCACCGCGCGGCGATGCCGTCGTCGTCGCGCGGGCGGAGCGCCGCCGAGACGGTCGGCGGAGGCTCGGCGAGCGGCGGCGGCGGCGGAGGCGGCGGCGGAGGGTGGGAGGCCGCAGCGCCATCAGACTCCTCGTCAGGAGAGCGCTGCGTGGACAGCGGGCGGCTGCGTATGCGGAGGGGAGGCGAGCGGAGCCGGCGGGCGACGATTCGCATTGCACAGACGACAGACGCGTCGCGACAGCCCACGCGACCGGAGCCTGGAACGAGCGCATGCGTGGAAGAAAGAATTTTACTGGCGCGCACAACACTGGGCACTCGACCCAGCCCTAGCTTGGGATGTCCGTTGTATTTATTTATTTATTGGGCACGGGACTGGCGCGCACTGGCACTAACACAGGTAGGTAGAAAGAATTTTACAAGAGGGTCGCAACGTTTCTGGGCACGGGACTGGCGCGCACTGGCACTAACACAGGTACAAGGCGCCGAAGAAAGAATCTGATGCGCGGCAGCAGCCTCCTTTGGTTTCTCTCTCTTTTCTTCTTTTTAGCTCGGAGCTCGACTTTCCCGTTAGCAGTTACACTGCGAGGCCGCGCGGGAAGCCGCAACGCGTGTGTCCGTGTGCGCGTGCCTGCACGAGCGTGCGACGTGTGGGGAGGGGTGTTTTATGATCATTTGACATTGGGCTCACTTCCACACCTCGTTCCGACCGACAAGTTCCGGCACGCCGGGCCGCACCGCCTGGGTATACAAAATGCGCCTGCGGGCGGACCCTTACAGATCACAGATAACACCTCGTGTTAGGCCATGATCTCAGCAGAGCTTCGTGATGGGACAGCCGCTTTCGTCGTGGCCGGACGAGCTCGAGTCGAAAACAAGGAGGGCAGGCTTACCGCAGGAGAAAATTCTTGCGCAGCCGGCGCAGCCGCCAACGCCCTCCCACCTGTTCGTGGCTGGGACTTGGCGAAAGCCGATGGCGATCGGTGGCCAAAAGGGGGTGGTCCAGAATTCTACCTCGTCTGTGGAATCGGTCGGGTGAGTCACAGTCAGCAAAAAGCACCACCATGTCATGCACCAGCAACCTGCCAGTTCGCCAGCCGGTATTGTGTCAACGGCTGGCGCATCTGGCTCCCGCTCCATCGTGCCTGCCTTAGGAGCGGTAGCGGGTGCCATTGGATGGCCCGGCTTGTTGCCACCTGCAACGCCGCTCCGAATGCGACCACTCTCCAGGACGACACGGATCTCAGCAGCAAGCTGCTTCACGCCGCTGTCAAAGGCGCTCGAGTCATCGGAGCTCAAATCAATGTAGAGCTTGCCGCCGAGCTTGCCTCCGACGGTGCCGGCCCAGTCGCTCGGGTTGCGGCAGCGTTTCTCCATAACGACCGGGATCATTGCCTCGACGCCCTTGCGGCGCAGGCTATAGTCAAACTCAAACTTGCAGTTGTCGTTGTGCCCATTGGCCCCCTTCCCCCACGCCTTCTCGAGATAGCGGTCCGTGATGAAGCACACCACCGCCCCTGAGCGTTCGATTCCATCCACCATCTTGTCGTTTATGTCTCCGCGCATGCACTCCTCGTCAAACCATGGCCGAATGCCCTCGGCCTTGAGGGCGGCACAGAGTTTCCCTACGCGGGCATGGTTGGAACGTCCTTCCTCGTCTTCGCCCCAGTCATGGGTAAGGAAGCAGTCGTACTGCATAGGCGCGCCCTGCCCGCTGTAGTCCGCCGCCTTTCTACAGTGGGTTGCGGGCATTAAGAAAACGTCGCATTAAGAAACCCTACCAAGAGATTTCCGCAAAAATCTAAGAAACCACGGCGCGCCGCAGGCGCGGCCCCGAGAAAAGGCCAGACACGAGTCTCGAGTGTGAACGGGAGCCCCAGCTCAAAATTTCTCTTCGCCTGCGGCGCGCGCACTTGTCACTTTCCAAGTCTACGGTGTTCTGAGTGGAGTGGAGATGGAGGCGTGTGTGCGTCTTCCCGTCATCCAGAGAGCCGACTCGGCGGCAGACTCTGGCATCGCCCTCGCGGACCGCAGCTTACCTCTTACCTAAAATCCTTAGGGGGCCGGCTCTGGCCTGAGTGCCGGCCGGAGCTAAGAAACCACGGCGTGGGGTGGGTGAGGGCTGTGGAAAGGCTTAGAAACGGCGGCGTGCCGCCAAATGCTGTTTTCTTAATGCCCGCAACCCACTGTACAGAGGGTGAGAATGGTGGAGAAATGGCCACGTCGACTCGTTGGTGAGTGAGCTGTTTTCCCCCTGCGCGCGGGCCTTCTAGGCCTGCGGGTAGTCTCTCCCCATCCCCAGGGCCTCTAGGGCTCGCACCTCAAGAAGAGAGTTTCTAAAAATCACTCCTCATCGCAAACCCTGTCAGCAGTCCTCCTTCGGTTACTGGACCGTGTTCAACGTCGTTGAACAGTGTTCAACGTCGTTGAACACTACTTAGGAATGGCCGTAGCTCCTCTTCACGAGCGATTCAGAAGACGTACCAAGTATCGATTCTGTATAGAATTGCAAGGCGCACACGCTGGTGCAGGCGGCGAGTCGTCGATCCGACTCGTTCCGACGTGAAGTCGCCGTGAAGGGTTGGCAATATGGCAAACACAGGTGTGTATTATTTTTGCTTGGGGCGGCCCTCATGACGGGGTAGGTAGGGTAGGTCTGGGCCCTCCCGTCGGGTTTTCCCCTCTCTTCACGCTGGAATTTTCACAGCAGAAGAAGAATTTTTCCGCGGAAATCACGATGTCAACCCTCCCCAAGTGAGGTGATCTGGTGCTTGTAGGGCTTGAGAGTGGCCTGCCATGTCACAGGAAGGACTGTGGTTGCAGAAGAGTACCACCAGCATCACTTTAGTTGGTATAGTACCCCACCTTCACCGATCCGACAACAAATTTCCCATAAGTAGGGTAGGTAGGTAGGTAGGTAGGTAGGTGCAGGGCAGGGGCCGGCCAGGTTTTTGCAGAATTTCATCATGAGGGCCGCCCCAAGCACAACCAGGCCCTTCCTTTTTTTGAGCAGGTGTGACGCCGCGCGAGCGACGCTCCGAGATCGCCCGAGATAGCGCGGCGCGGCGGTGGGTGAGGTGGGGTGGGGGGAGGGGTGGGGGGGGGGGGCGGCGTGGCGTGGAGCTCCGAGATAGCGCGAGATTGTGCGAGATCGCGCGGCGCGGCCCCGAGATGGCGCGAGATCGCCCGAGATCGCGCGGCGCGGCCCGAGGCGAGGTGGATGGGTTGGGAGCGAGGGGGCGGAAGTGATCAGTGCGGTAGATCGGTCAGTCGGGGCGCGTGAGCCGGACTTGTGAGCCGGACGGCTTTCATTTCTCTCTGCGTTGTTGAGCCAGGACTCAACATACTCGTTCTGTTGCCGTCCCAAACTGTCACTCCCCTCTCTCCCGGCCGGGGTGGGGCGCGCGCGGGGGCGGCGGGTGTGCGGCGAGTGTGCGGGATGTCTGTGGGCCCGAGAGCGATATGCCATGTCCGCCTTGCGTTGTTTCATAACATCGAAGGCGAGAAGGCGAGTACGTCGAAGGCTAAGCTCAAAGTAAAATACACCCGGCAAACAGGGCCATTTTGCCACATTTTGCCCCCCTTTGCGATCTTCTCGCGTCGGCAAGCGCGCGGGCCAGGATGGGCGAGCCGGTCCCGCCACGCTGGACGGGCCAGCGGCTGGCACGCGCCGGCCACCCCGGCGGCGCGGCGGCCTCATCGCGCTCGTCGTCTGCGAGGCCACCGCTCGGCGTCGCCGCGTCCGACGGCGATGGCGCTTGGCTGTGAGGTGGGATGGCGGCATGGTGCGCGCGGACGTGGGGGTGGTGCGGGATGCGCGTGCCAGCAAGCATAGTTTCACCTCCCCAACCCCGCAGGCGCGCCGACGTGCTGCCCGAGCGCGTTTGGGGGCAGCAGCAGCTCCTCGCGAGGCGCCTTCGGAGGGGTGCCACACCCCTTTCCCAGCCGCGCGCGAGTTGAGCTCCGATTTGCGCTCTTTTTCGCACACGCCCGACACTAGTAGGTGAGGATCGACCATCCTCCGCTAGCAGGGCCTCGTCGGGCGCGTCTTCGTCGAGCGGTGGTGCATCTCCCATGCTCCCACCCGCGCCCTCCTGGCAGCCCGCCCGCGGCCCACACCGACGCCCTCACGGGCTCACCCTAGTCGTAGGTGCGGGTTTTTTGCGTGCCCCCCGTCGATACGGGGCGCTGGGCGATGGCTGGGCTTGTCGCCGGGCGAGCTAGCCCCTCAGCCGGCCGCGGAGCGGAGGTGCGAAATCGAGGCGGCGCGGCCCCTGCGCGCAGCCTGTCCGGCCGGCGCGCGCATGGTTCCGTAGCCCGTCTAGTGCCTCACTGACCAACTCCAGCGCCACGGTGTATGTGGCCGGTGTGGTACTGGGGCTGGGCAGCCTTGGGGCCGGCGGAGACCGCCGTCTAGCGGTCGCACTAGTCGGATATCGTTGTTCAACCTGTTTGTTCAACGGTTGTTCAACCATAGTTTGAGCCTCAATTATTAATTAGGGTTTGGGTCTCTGAGGTCGATACTAGCGTCTATAACTTGCCACAAGCATGCTTTACAAAAGTCCAGCGGAGCTGGACTCGCAGAACGGCCGTCCGCGCGCGCTGTGAACAGCGCCGTGGTTGAACACTGTTCAACGTCGTGTTGAACACGTGACGGTCCAGTAACCGCCTTCCTCCGGGAATGTACGTAAGAGCCACATACATTGAAAATCTCTCTCGCACCTCACTTAACCTCGCTGCCGAGCCCAAATCACTGTGTGTGCCACATTTCTTGTTGGCTTCTAAAAATCTCTCTCTCTCTCCCTCAACCTCTCACAGACCACAGCGCACAGCGCCATAGGACATATTTCCTTCTTGAGCACTTGAGCACTGGATAGGGTCGATCGATTCCGCATGGTACGCGTACGGGACCCCTCGATCGTCTCGCCCTCCCCTGAGGCTGAGCCCTCCCTCACTGGTGTGTTCATTGGGGGGAATATATTTCCTTCTCAATAACAAGGGTCAAGGCTGTGAAATGGGCGTGAATGTCCCAGAAATTTCATCGCCTGCCCCTGCGGCGCGCCAGAGGCAACCAACCAACCTATCAAGGTGTTTGGGCCAAGCATTTCACGCCGCCCCTAGGCCGCCCCCTGGTCACAGGTATCACGGGTGACCGAGAGATGGGTCTCCTTCGTGGTGTGAGTACCTCGGCACCTGGTCTGGCACACGCACTGCCTGGTCCGCGCGAGTGCAACGAGACCCGCCGCCTCCAAACCCGGCTCTGCGGCCGCGCAGCCGCAGGCATCAGGAGCCGGCGGAACCTTGCCAGAATGTGGCCGCAGCAAGAGCCTCCGGCGGGCCTCCGGCGGACGCCTAGCGGCGTGGCGCTGCGCGCCGGCCTGCGGCCTCTGAAGAAGTGTCACACTGTGTCACCTCGCCGCGAAGTGTGTCACCATAAGCATAACCGCTTTCACGCTTGGGTGTGCTACAAAAGTGGGGACGCGCCTGGCGGCGCGCCCCCCAAAATGTTTGGGGGCCTGTGATTGGGCGAAAGAAAGAAAGAAAGAAAAAACCCCAGGGAGGGATGGGAGGACGGCACGCCGCCACCACACAGGGATTTTAAGGAGAGGAGTGTGGTGCTAGTCGTCGCCCACCCTAACCCTTGGTCGTCGTCTGCCTCTTTCTATCTCCCTTCGCAGTCCCTCGCCGATTCTCGCTGCAACCTTCATGGTTCATGCGTCACATGCCACCTCGCGGTCGTCCCACTCTCGTCGTTCTCCCTCCTGTCGCTTCCTCCTCTGTCGCGTCGCTCTCGTCTGCCTCGTCCTGCGACCGACGCCGCCGCCGCCTGCCGATCCCTTGCTCTCGCGGCTTCTCTCGCCTTTCGTCGCAGCTCTGCCCTCCTCGCGGCAATATTTTGGCCCCTCGAGTTTATCGAGCTCTCCTCGCGCAAGGACGACTCTTCTGACGCCCACTGCGATCATTTGCCGCCAAGTCATATCGTTGCTCAGGTCCACTCTCTCTTCGAACACTTGTACCTCCACGGATGATGCTGGCGCTGGGGTCCCCTTCGGGTGCCTCGTGACAGCTGACGATGGGATTGCCACTGGTGTTTCGTCCTCCTCGGAGTTTGTGAAAGAAAGAAAGAAAACAGACACGCCAAACGAGGGATGGGACGAGGACAGGGTCACCTGCACGAGCAGGATTTTGGATTTGTGATTGGGCCTTTGTGTGAAACAAAATTCTTTTTTGTCGTCGTTCTTTCCCTTGTCGCTTCTTCTTCTGTCGCGTCGCTCTCCTCTGCCTCGTTCTGCGACGCCGCCGCCGCCTGCCGGTCCCTTGTTCTCGCTGAAGAAAAGAAAGAAAGAAAACAGACACGCCAAACGAGGGATGGGACGAGGACAGGGTCCCCACCTGCACGAGCAGGATTTTGGAAGGACGATCAGGGGGACAGGTGGGGCTCTCCTGCTCCTGACACGGGACACTCTCGCTGAAAACGTGATTGCAACTCGTTTTTCGATTCTTTTTTGCACAACACTGGGCTTTTGTTGGCGCGAACCTGTACAATGTCGGACTCCGACGAGCCGGACTGGGTCGAGGCGCAGAGCTCCGCGCAGAAAGCCGCGGCCAAGAGCCGCCTCTCCTCCTCCTCCAGCCTCAACCTCGACGGCTCCGACGATGATGAGGACGCCGGCCAGAAGGATGCGCCGGCGGCCATCAAGCCGGCCAAGGGCGGCGCCGGCGGCAAGTCTCGCGCGCCCAAGACGCCGGCGTCGGCGCTGCCGCTCTCGCTCGCGCCGAGGGCGCGCCCCATCGCCGCCGCCCCCTCTCCTGCCCTCGCCCGCCTCCGCTTGAGCGCCGCCGCGGCCGTTCGTCGCAGGTGCGCCGGGACGCGCTGCTGCTCGAGGCGCCAGACGGCGAGCTGGACCTCTCGGGCGACTTTGGCTGCATCGGCCGCCTCCACGTCAACGCCTCGCGCAGAACGACGGACGGCGCGGCGGCGGGCAGCAGCGCGGACGGCGGCGGCGGCAGCGGACGGCGCGACCGCGCGGCGCTCACGCTCGACCTCAAGGGCCGTGTGTACGAGGGCGACATTGTGCCGAGCAACTCGTCCCTCTGCCTGGTCTCGCTCGACGGCAGCCGCGCGCGCGTCGAGGCCGTCTTCAGCGACTTTGTGCAGCTCTCCGCGCCGCACGTCTCCATCTTTGAGATGGAGCAGGTGCAGGACGGCGAGCTGGGCGCGCACTTCTTCGACGACGTCGACGACGCGAACTCGGTCCTCGACTCGGACGCCGAAGAGGAGATGGCGCCGCTCAAGGAGCGGCGCGGCGGCGGCAAGATGGCCGCGTCCAAAAAGGGCAAGGGCGCGGCGGCAGACGGACGGAGGGGCCGCCGACCGCTCCGCGCTGTGCTGACGGGTGGGCCTTGCTCCTTCTAGGCGGCAGCAAGGCGTCGGCCGGCTCGAAGCGCAAACCGTCGGGCGGCAAGGCGGGCGCCAAGCGCGCCAAGAAGTGAGGCGTGCCGACGCGGTGCGCGGTGAGTGGTTTTTGCTCTCCACTCTGTTCATGAAGACGTCTCGCCCTCCAGCAGCCCCCCCGAGCCCCGTCGCTAGTAGCTGTGAGAAAGGAGAGTTTTGAGGTATGAGGACACGGGACTGTGCTGCATGCTGTACTGTACGTGTACGTACGAACCGACGAGACGTACCGGGGAGGCTGCGTACTGCCCGCGGGGGCGCAAAAAACCCATACCATATCCTCATATATCCAACACGTACCGCAGGGCGGGGACCTGTTCCTTTTTACCCATCTCCTAGTAGAGGTGTCCGTTTTGTTTATTTATTTATTTAACACGACGGATTCGCTACCCGGGCTTAGCTGGTGGCGGGTTCGCACACTTGGTCGTCGAGACCCGGGTAGGCGATCCACACCCGCCGGCCCTGCTCACAGCCTCTTGCGCGTGGCCGGGTCGTACCCGAGCGCCTCGGCGCACTTGCCCAGCCGCTCCAGCGCCTCGAAACGGACTGACGGCGTGTACAGCCGCTGCCCCTCCTTGACGGGTAGCGGCTGGCCCACCGCCTTCAGATAGGCAAACACGCCGCCCAACCCTTCTGTGTTGCCGATCCGCTTGTCCATGCAGTACCCAACCGTCAGCGTGTACACCTTCCCCTCGCGATCGAAGAGGAGACTCTGCGCCTGCGGCGGCGACCTCACCACCTTGTGCGTTGCCGCGATCGCGCGGCCTCCAAAGTGGAGCGTGCCCGTGTGCGTCGCCTCCGCACGCGAGAAGAACCAGACGCGGTTCGGCTCTAGTGGGTCAACTGCAAACCAGGACTTGTCCCGCAGGTCCGGGAAGGCCTCCTTCAGCTTGAATGAGCCGAAGGCGCGGACAAACTCGGCGCGCGAGAGCGGGCCGACGATGGGAGCAACGAACTGGAAGTCGTCCGAGAGAAGCGCAGCCGGGTCGGCTCCCGCTTTGGTGCCAAACTCGGCGGCCAGTACACGCTTCGCCTTGGCAATGAGCTCCTCCGGACCGATGGGAAACGTAGATGTGGCGAGCGTCGCCGCCGAGTCGAGCGCTTCGTAGCCGCCCTCGTCGCTGAAGACGGGCGATGTCGCGTACCGCTGCTCGTGCCAGCCGAGCTTCTTGCGGCCAGTGTTCTTGCCAGAGCCGGTGGCGACGTCGATCAGATCGACAGCAAATAGCAGCGCGCCGCGTATCGCAGAGTGGATGAGGTCGATGGTCAGGAGAAGGCTGGCGGTGCAGAGGTTGCCGAGAGCGGCGAGAGGCTGCATATGTGTATTATGTACAATTCGATCGAGTGCGAGGAGGGAGCAGAGGCGTAGAAGCAGATGGTAGAGCCAGGAAGCCGGACGCTGATGCTGGCAGGAGTGCACCTGGCACTGCACTACCTGGAATGTTCGAACTGACCAGAAAGAAAGGAGAGCGCCCTCGTCTAGCAAAAAAGAAAGTGCAGGTGAGCGACAGCTACACAAACTCTCCAAGCCCGGCGGCTCTCGCTGGTCCGCTCGCCCACGCGCCGCGATGGAGGTCGAACAGGACAACCGCAGGAGCGGCGGTGGCGGCCCGGACCGCGCCGCTCAGATGCAGGCGCAGTTCGAGGCCCTCGTGGCGCAGGGCGCCGCAGCAATGGCAGCGGAGCACGGCTACATAAGGAGCGACCCGGTGACGGGAGTGCAGCTTTCACCAGCGGATGAGGCCACGCTGCACAGGCTCCTCCTCGAGCGGCTCTACGCGAAACGGCTGCGCGACTTTGACGTCGCCGACGCGCTGCGCGCACAACTTCGCGACGCCGGCGTCTCTGTCAATGACGCAGAAAGCACCTACTCGATACGGCCACGCACGTCGGGCCAGCCGAACCACCACGGCTACACTCGCGTCGACGATGGCAGCATCGTCCTCTCGCCGGCCGACCAGGCGACGCTCGACGGCATGCTGCTCGAGCGGCTGCTCGCCAAGCGGGCGCGCGAGTTTGCAAAGGCGGACGAGCTGCGCCAAAAGCTGCGCTCGGTGGTCCTCCGCCGGGCCGCAAACCCCCGCGCGCCCCTTCCATCCACACTCTGGTGCCGGCCCGTCCGCAGGCGGGCGTGATCATCGACGATGGCGCGAACACCTACCGCGTCGTCCCTCCCGAGCCGCCCAAGCCTCCTCAGCCGGCGCGACCGACCCACCACGGCTACACTCGCGTCGACGACGGCAGCGTGGTGCTCTCGCCCGCCGACCAGGCGACCCTGGACGGCATGCTGCTCGATCGGGTGCTTGCGAAGCGAGAGCGCGCTTGGGAGCGCTCCGACGAGCTGCGTCAGAAGCTGCGCGAGGCGGGCGTGTCGGTCAACGACGGCGAAAGCACCTACAGCCTCAAGCCACCGGCGCCGCCGAAGCCGCCCAAGCAGTCCCAGCCGGCGCGACCGACCCACCACGGCTACACTCGCGTCGACGACGGCAGCGTGGTGCTCTCGCCCGCCGACCAGGCGACCCTGGACGGCATGCTGCTCGATCGGGTGCTTGCGAAGCGAGAGCGCGCTTGGGAGCGCTCCGACGAGCTGCGTCAGAAGCTGCGCGAGGCGGGCGTGTCGGTCAACGACGGCGAAAGCACCTACAGCCTCGCGCCGCCCAAGGCGCCCAAGCCGCCCAAGCCGCCCCCGCCGACCGAGCACGACTATGCGCGCGAGGAGGCGGACGGCGGCGCGGCGTGGGCCTCGCTCCCGGCTGAGCACCGCAGCGCAATCGACGGGCTGCTGTTGGCGCGGCTGCAGGCGAAGAAGAGCCGGCAGTGGGAGGCGGCCGACGCGATGCGGTCGCAGCTGAACGAGCTCGGGGTCTACGTCGATGACGGCCGAAAGGTGTGGCAGCTGCTGCTCGGCAAAGGGAGGAGTTCGCCGGGTCAGCGGTTCACCCGGCCCGGCTGCGCGGTAGGTGTACAAGCTGCTCGGCAAGGAGGAGCTGTCCGACGCGTACACCCGCGACCCCGCCGACGACTCCGGCGTCGTGCTCAACGCGACGGACGAGGCGACGCTGGTCGGCCGCCTCTCCGCCCGCCGGCAGGCGCAGCGCTCGCGCGACTACGCCGGCGCTGACGCCATCCGTGACGAGCCGCAGCACCCTACCAAACCCCGGTACCCAACTCGAATTCAATACCATAGGCGCCGACGCCATCCGTGACGAGCTGCGCGCCGTCGCGCGCCAAGGGGGCTGCAGCATAGTCTTCGACGACCGGAAGCACACGTACCGCTTCCCGTCCCTCGCCGTCGCGCACTAAGTCAAGCGGTCTCTCGACGAGGAGGGCGGCGCGGCGGAGCGATCCCGGCTCGACAGAGAACTGGCCGACCACCGCGGTGGCGGCGGCGGCGGCGGTGGCGGCGGCGGCGGCGTCGGAAGCGATGGGGTGGGAGGGAGCGGGGGCCACGGGTACCGGCGGTCCGAGGAGGCCGGGCAGCGGGAGATCGACGAGGAGGAGCAGGCGCAGATCGACGCGCTGCTCCTCGAGCGGGTGCAGGCCAAGCGGGTGCGCGACTTTGCGCGCGCCGACGACCTCCGCGACCGGCTGCGCGAGCACGACTGCTTCGTGGACGACCGCGCAAACACGTACGTGTGCCGCATCCTGGCGAAGCGGCGCCGCTCGAGCGACCGCGCGAGCGAGGGCAGCGAGGCGAGGCCACCCGCGCTCTCTACCCCGCCGCCGCCGCCGCCGCCGCCGCGCTTTGTGCGGGACCCGAACGACGGGGGAGGCGCGGAGTCCTTGACGGCGGAGCAGGAGGAGCGCCTGCAGGAGCGGCTGGTTGCGCAGCGCGAGGCGCAGGCCGCGCGCGACTTTGCGATTGCCGACGCGATCCGCGATGTGTGTTTGTTCGCGCCACAGCCGAGAGTCTAGCCGCGGCTGCAGAGACGAGGAGGCCGCGGTGTCCCCGCCGGACCCCGCCCCGCCCCGCCCCGCCGCAGGAGCTGCGGCGCGAGATGGGCATCGTCCTCAACTCGCGCACGAGCTCCTACCGCATCCTCCCGCCGCCGCAGCCGTCCGCCGGAGCCGCCACCAGTCGCTTGTTTGAGCCGTCGGCCGGCTGGTCCTCCTCCCGAGCAGAGGCGCCAGCGCCAGCGGGCGGAGGGGAAGCCTTGGCCCCCGCGAGCGCCGCAGAAGTGGTGGACGCCGCCCCGCCTGCGCCTGCAGCCTCATTTGTGACTCCGGGCGCGGTGGGCTACTCGGACGAAGAGCTTCTCGCGGTCCGCGCCCATCAGCGAAGCGGACACGCTGCCACACGCCCCTTCTGACCCCTTGGCCTTGCTGTGTAGGGCGTCGACTTGCCCGAGGAGACGCGACACGACTGAAGGGCTATTTCCCATTCTTTTGGGGGCGAATGGCGGCGCTTTGTGGGCGGTTGACGTCGAATGGCGAATTGTGATTGGCATATGTTTGTATTCCGGGCGGGGAGACAGAGCGAGAGTCGAGAGAGGAGAACTAAGGAGCCCGCGCGCAGTGTGCTTGCCGAGGTGCGGAGGTGGAGACAGCGCAGTGTGTAGACTAGTGTTCACGTAAAAGCACAATCCCGGGCCCCAGCGCAGCAGCGGGGCCCGAAATCGCGCACAGAAAGAGAAACACCAGTCAGACTCAGAGAGCGAGACCCCGAGAGCGCGGTGCAGCGCGACAAAAATCAAAATGCGCAAAATGTCCAATGATTGAAATATTGAGATGCAAAACACGGGGGGTCCCAGGGTGAGGGAAGGCGAGCAAAGTGCAGTGTTACTCGCAAAACTCAAAAGCAGACAATTCTCTTATATCAAGTCATAGGACCCCTCGGGCGGACGGGTAGCGTTCCTGAACCAAAAGTTAACAGCGACGTTGAGTTCGCCTTGCGCAGCGCAGCGCGAGTGGACCTCGTGGTGCCAAAAGGCGGGCAGGTAGAGCGTCTCTCCGGGCCGGAGCGTGCAGCGGCGCGGCGACGCGCGCTGCAGCGCCGGATGGGCGCGCAAGTCGGGCTGCGACACGTTGACGGACGAGGCAAAGACTACGCGCGCGCCGGCGTCCGCCTCGCTGACGGGCAGCCGCTCAAAGGTGTTTGGCCAGGCATAGCGGAGCGTGCCCTTGGCGCGCGGCGTGTAGTAGAGGTGGGGCAAGTCGGAGGGCGGGAAGAGGACGAGCTCCTTGGTGCCAGACACCTGAGCGAGAAGGTTCTCGTACTCGTCGTAGTGGAGGGGCGACGTCGTCGCGCCTTTGCCCAGCCAGAGGTTGGCGAGCAGCGGCCTGAGGTACAGCGCCTGCGGCGGCACCGGCGCCATCGCGCGCACAGGCGCGCCGAGGTACTGGTGCAGCGCGTTGTACTCGACGTAGAAGGACTCCGGCGTCGGCTCCTCGAGCAGGCGCAGGTAGTCGCCCAGCCGCATGAAAGTCTCGGGCGGCCGCACGAGCACCTCCCTGCCGGCTGGCAGCCCCCAGCGGTGCCCCGCCTCGGGCCCGTCGTACCTGCCCGTGGGCGAGACGCCGACCTTGACAGTGGAGTCGCCGCACGCCGCGCGCAGCGCACTCGCCCCCCACCGGCTCGCCGGCGCAAAGCCCGTGGCCTGCTGCAGGCCGACGAGCACAACAGGCTCGCCCGCCTCCACCACGGCTCGCATCTCCGCCTCGGACGAGGGCGCTCTCTTCCGAGCGATCTCCGGCGCGCCCGCCAACCATGAGGGCGGCTCCCACCCCGCCGTCGCCGCCGCGGCCGGAGCGCTGCGAGAAGCAGATGATGGCGGCGGCGGCGGCCCGAGCGAACGCACAACCTCGCTCCACCCCTCCACCTCGCGCCGCGTCCGGTCGATGAAGGCGAGCTGCGCGGCGCGCCACCGGCGGCGCTCCGCCAGGCGCTTGGCGCCCTCCTCGTCGGCCTGCGCGCCGCCGCCGCTTGCCTCGCTCCTCGGCCGCTCACTCGGCGCCCCGTCGAGCGCAGCCGCCGTCCGAAGCAGCGCCTCCGCCTCGCGCACGTGCAGCGCGGCCGCATGCACGGCGCCAAAGTTGGAGAGGCGCGACGTGCCGAGGAGCAGGCGGCCGAGGCCGTCGTACGCCTCCACCAGCCCCGGCTGCAGCGCGAGCGCGCGCTCATAGTGCGACTGCGCCGCGGCGAGGCGCCCCTCCCACCCCGAGGCAAGCGCGCCGCCGCTTCCCTCTGCCGCCGCTTCGCCGAGGGCGTGCAACGCCTCCTCCGTCTCGGCGGCGCGCCTGTGCGCCGCCGCCGCTGCGGAGGAGGCGTCCGGCGCACCGTCCGGGGACCCGTCACCGGCGGCGGCGGCGAAGGCGCTCGCTGCGCCGCGCAAGAAGCCGGCGGCGAGGCGGACGTCGGCTTGCTCGTGGTGCGCTGCGAGTGCGCTGAGCGCCTCGCCGACGGTAGCATGATCGCGCACGCCGCCGAGCGAGAGCGCGATTGCGTAATGGCGCGCCGTGCCCTCAAAGTCGCCCGCCAGACCCGTGGCATGCGCCAGCTCGCGGGCAAAGTGCGGCCGCCACGCGGCCTCGGCCAGCGCAAAGCCGC